TTTCTGCACTTTTCAGGCATTTTTGCGATTTTCGCAATTTTCAGGAATATTTGCGATTTTTGCAATATTTGCATTTTTCAGGCATTTTTGCGATTTTTGTAATTTCCAATTTTTGTGATTTTTGCAATTTTCAGGAACTTGCAATTTTTGCAATTTTCAGGAATTTTTACGATTTTTGCAATTTTCAGGAATTTTTGCAATTTTTGCAATTTTCAGGAATTTTTGCATTTTTGCAATTTTTGCAATTTTCAGGAATTTTTGCGATTTCTGCAATTTTCAGGAATTTTTGCAATTTTTGCAATTTTCAGGAATTTTTGCGATTTTCGCAATTTTCAGGAATTTTTGCGATTTTTGCAATTTTCAGGAATTTTTGCGATTTTTGCAATTTTTGCAATTTTCAGGAATTTTTACAATTTTTGCAATTTTCAGGAATTTTTGCGATTTTCGCAATTTTCAGGAATTTTTGCAATTTTTGCTATTTTTGCAATTTTCAGGAAATTTTGCGATTTTTGCAATTTTTGCATTTTTCAGGCATTTTTGCGATTTTTGTAATTTCCAGGAATTTTTGCGATTTTTGCAATTTTCAGGGATTTTTGCGATTTTTGCAATTTTCAGGAATTTTTACGATTTTTGCAATTTTCAGGAATTTTTGCGATTTTTGCAATTTTCAGGAATTTTTGCAATTTTTGCTATTTCTGCAATTTTCAGGAATTTTTGTGATTTTTGCAATTTTCAGGAATTTTTGCAATTTTTGCAATTTTCAGGAATTTTTACGATTTTTGCAATTTTCAGGAATTTTAGCAATTTTTGCAATTTTCAGGAATTTTTGCAATTTTTGCAATTTTCAGGAATTTTTGCAATTTCTGCAATTTTCAGGAATTTTTGCAATTTTTGCAATTTTCAGGAATTTTTGCGATTTTCGCAATTTTCTGGAATTTTTGCGATTTTTGCAATTTTCAGGAATTTTTGCGATTTTTGCAATTTTTGCAATTTTCAGGAATTTTTGCAATTTTTGCAATTTTCAGGAATTTTTGCGATTTTCGCAATTTTCAGGAATTTTTGCGATTTTTGCAATTTTCAGGAAATTTTGCGATTTTTGCAATTTTCAGGAATTTTTGCGATTTTTGCAATATTCAGGAATTTTTTCAATTTTCAGGAATTTTTGCGATTTTTGCAATTTTCAGGAATTTTTGCAATTTTTGCAATTTTCAGGAATTTTTGCAATTTTCAGGAATTTTTGCGATTTTTGCAATTTTCAGGAATTTCCGCAATTTTTGCAATTTTCAGGAATTTTTGCAATTTTTGCAATTTTCAGGAATTTTTGCAATTTTTGCTATTTTTGCAATTTTCAGGAATTTTTGCAACTTTTTCAATTTTCAGGAATTTTTGCAATTTTCAGGAATTTTTGCAATTTTTGCTATTTTTGTAATTTTCAGGAATTTTTGCGATTTTTGCAATTTTCAGGAATTTTAGCAATTTTTGCAATTTTCAGGAATTTTTGCAATTTTTGCAATTTTCAGGAATTTTTGCGATTTTTGCAATTTTCAGGAATTTTTGCAATTTTTGCAATTTTCAGGAATTTTTGCAATTTCTGCAATTTTCAGGAATTTTTGCAATTTTTGCAATTTTCAGGAATTTTTGCGATTTTCGCAATTTTCTGGAATTTTTGCGATTTTTGCAATTTTCAGGAATTTTTGCGATTTTTGCAATTTTTGCAATTTTCAGGAATTTTTGCAATTTTTGCAATTTTCAGGAATTTTTGCGATTTTCGCAATTTTCAGGAATTTTTGCGATTTTTGCAATTTTCAGGAAATTTTGCGATTTTTGCAATTTTCAGGAATTTTTGCGATTTTTGCAATATTCAGGAATTTTTTCAATTTTCAGGAATTTTTGCGATTTTTGCAATTTTCAGGAATTTTTGCAATTTTTGCAATTTTCAGGAATTTTTGCAATTTTCAGGAATTTTTGCGATTTTTGCAATTTTCAGGAATTTCCGCAATTTTTGCAATTTTCAGGAATTTTTGCAATTTTTGCAATTTTCAGGAATTTTTGCAATTTTTGCTATTTTTGCAATTTTCAGGAATTTTTGCAATTTTTTCAATTTTCAGGAATTTTTGCAATTTTCAGGAATTTTTGCAATTTTTGCTATTTTTGTAATTTTCAGGAATTTTTGCGATTTTTGCAATTTTCAGGAATTTTAGCAATTTTTGCAATTTTCAGGAATTTTTGCAATTTTTGCAATTTTCAGGAATTTTTGCGATTTTTGCAATTTTCAGGAATTTTTGCGGTTTCTGCAATTTTCAGGAATTTTTGCAATTTTTGCAATTTTCAGGAATTTTTGCGATTTTCGCAATTTTCAGGAATTTTTGCGATTTTTGCAATTTTCAGGAATTTTTGCGATTTTTGCAATTTTTGCAATTTTCAGGAATTTTTGCAATTTTTGCAATTTTCAGAAATTTTCGCGAGTTTCGCAATTTTCAGGAATTTTTGCGATTTTTGCAATTTTTGCAATTTTCAGGCATTTTTGCGATTTTTGCAATTTTCAGGAATTTTTGCGATTCTTGCAATTTTCAGGAATTTTTGCAATTCTTGCAATTTTCAGCAATTTTTGCGATTTTTGCAATTTTTGCGATTTTTGCAATTTTTGCATTTTTCAGGCATTTTTGCAATTTTTGTAATTTCCAGGAATTTTTGCGATTTTTGCAATTTTCAGGGATTTTTGCGATTTTTGCAATTTTCAGGAATTTTTGCGATTTTTGCAATTTTCAGGAATTTTTGCGATTTTTGCAATTTTCATGAATTTTTGCAATTTTTGCAATTTTCAGGCATTTTTGCGATTTTTGCAATTTTCAGGAATTTTTGCGATTCTTGCAATTTTCAGGAATTTTTGCAATTCTTGCAATTTTCAGCAATTTTTGCGATTTTTGCAATTTTTGCGATTTTTGCAATTTTTGCATTTTTCAGGCATTTTTGCGATTTTTGTAATTTCCAGGAATTTTTGCGATTTTTGCAATTTTCAGGGATTTTTGCGATTTTTGCAATTTTCAGGAATTTTTGCGATTTTTGCAATTTTCAGGAATTTTTGCGATTTTTGCAATTTTCAGGAATTTTTGCGATTTTTGCAATTTTCAGGAATTTTTGCAATTTTTGCTATTTTTGCAATTTTCAGGAATTTTTGCGATTTTTGCAATTTTCAGGAATTTTTGCGATTTCTGCAATTTTCAGGAATTTTTGCAATTTTTGCAATTTTCAGGAATTTTTGCGATTTTTGCAATTTTCAGGGATTTTTGCAATTTTTGCAATTTTCAGGAATTTTCGCAATTTTTGCAATTTTCAGGAATTTTTGCAATTTTTGCAATTTTCAGGAATTTTCGCAATTTTTGCTATTTTTGCAATTTTCAGGAATTTTTGCAATTTTTTCAATTTTCAGGAATTTTTGCAATTTTTGCAATTTTCAGGAATTTTTGCAATTTTCAGGAATTTTTGCAATCTTTGCTAGTGTTGCAATTTTCAGGAATTTTTGCGATTTTAGCAATTTTCAGGAATTTTTGCAATTTTTGCAATTTTCAGGAATTTTTACGATTTTTGCAATTTTTGCAATTTTCAGGCATTTTTGCGATTTTTGCAATTTTCAGAAATTTTTGCGATTTTTGCAATTTTCAAGAATTTTTGCAATTCTTGCAATTTTCAGCAATTTTTGCGATTTTTGCAATTTTCAGGGATTTTTGCAATTTTCAGGAATTTTTGCAATTTTCAGGAATTTTTGCAATTTTTGCTATTTTTGTAATTTTCAGGAATTTTTGCGATTTTTGCAATTTTCAGGAATTTTTGCGATTTTTGCAATTTTCAGGAATTTTTGCAATTTTCAGGAATTTTTGCAATTCTTGCAATTTTCAGCAATTTTTGCGATTTTTGCAATTTTCAGGGATTTTTGCAATTTTCAAGAATTTTTGCAATTTTCAGGAATTTTTGCAATTTCTGCAATTTTCAGGAATTTTTGCGATTTTTGCAATTTTCAGGAAATTTTGCAATTTTTGCAATTTTCAGGCATTTTTCAGGCATTTTTGCAATTTTCAGGAATGTTTGCAATTTTCAGGAATTTTTGCAATTTTTGCTATTTTTGCAATTTTCAGGCATTTTTACGATTTTTCGATTTTCAGGAATTTGCAATTTCCAGGAATTTTTGCAATTTTTGCTATTTTTGCAATTTTCAGGCATTTTGCGATTTTTGCAATTTTTGCATTTTTCAGGCATTTTTGCGATTTTCGTAATTTCCAGGAATTTTTGCGATCTTACGTTATTCCAACGTTGATATCACGTTATTTCCATGCAATTTTCATGATATTTTTAGATTTTTTGCAACCTTACCCATCAGTCATGTTTTTCTACTCGTTCCTACTTTTTTCGGGTTCGTCAAATTTTTCTTACGTTGATCTTACGTTATTCCAACGTTGATTTCACGTTATTTCCATGCAATTTTCATGATATTTTTAGATATTTTGCAACCTTACCCAGCAGTCAAGTTTATCTACTCGTTTCTACTTTTTTCTGTTCGTCAAATTTTTCTTACGTTATTCTTACGTTATTCCAACGTTGAATTCACGTTATTTTCATGCAATTTTCATGATATTTTTAGATATTCTGCAACCTAACGCATCAGTCATGTTTTTCTACTCGTTCCTACTTTTTTCGGGTTCGTCAAATTTTTCTTACGTTAATCTTACGTTATTCCAACGTTGATTTCACGTTATTTCCATGCAATTTTCATGATATTTTTAGATATTTTGCAACCTTACCCATCAGTCAAGTTTATCTACTCGTTTCTACTTTTTTCTGTTCGTCAAATTTTTCTTACGTTATTCTTACGTTATTCTTACGTTATTCCAACGTTGAATTCACGTTATTTTCATGCAATTTTCATGGTATTCTTAGAAATTTTGCACGGTCATCACTTAAATCTTTTTTTAAGCGTTTTCACTCATTTCACGAATATTTCGAAGGTGAATTCATTGGACGGACTGGGTCAAACGGCCTTGCATAGGTGCGCCAGAGAAGATAACGTGCAGGCCTGCAGAATATTGATGAGCTACAATGTCGACGTCAGCATAGTATCGTTGCAGGGTTACAGTGCGGCCCAAGTGGCCACCGAAAACGTCTTGAAAATTCTACAAGGTGAGATGGAGTAAAAACTTTCGAAATAAAAATAATGGCGATGAATTGGGAAGTCTCCAATATTGGGTTTTTATCTCACTGTGAAGTCATAAGAAGGTCCGTTTTCAGAAGGTACTATTATTTATTTCCAAAAATGAAACATTCCAGTTGATTTTTCGATCGAATTATGTTGTCAATCATTATTTATGTATAAAAGGATAATTACAAACATGGTTTGAGCTGGAAGTTCTACTAAGGTGTACACGCCCATTATTGAATTTCAAGTGGTATAAGTGAAAATTTATCTGAAAAAAAAAAGTATCCCCATTCTGGATGTTTTCAGATCCTCCTTCTGGCAGTGCTGACGTGGAATGCCAGATATTGGAGGCTGCCAAATCGGGGGATTTGGAACAGGTTCAAAGACTTTTGGGTTCTTATCCGCACACGGTGAATTGTCGGGATTTGGATGGCAGACATTCCACCCCACTGCATTTTGCCTCGGGGTATAATAGGGTGGCGGTAGTGGAGTTTTTGTTGCAGCAGGGTGCCGACGTTCATGCCAAAGATAAGGGGTGAGCAAAGAAATTCAATTTATTTACTTATTTACACTGTATTATGACATTATTTTAGTAGGTTAATATACCTCTATCTATAATCTACTAAATTACTAATCATGTCAGATAAACTTGTAGAATTGGCAATGGTGACATTTACTATACATCAATGAATAATCGAATCATCTCAACAGTTTATTGTTGAATCGATACAAAATTTGAGAAATATTTACTTGATAATTCCTCAAAATTAAACAGCTGGCAACACAGGAAAAGGGGTTATGACGTCAGTACTGAATAGATGTTTTTGCCTCCAAACGTCATGTTTGAACGTTCCATGAAATTGTAGGCCAATTAAATGGTGTTTTTTTGAAGTATACAGCACATTTTATGAAAAAGTTGATGCATTCATTTTATGTTACTGCTATTTTCCCCAAACTGAGTTAATTTGTGCCATCTTGTCTTGTAGCGGCTTAGTTCCCCTTCACAACGCCTGTTCCTACGGTCATTACGAAGTGACGGAATTACTCGTCAAACATGGCGCCACCGTCAACGTGGCAGATTTGTGGAAATTCACGCCTCTGCACGAGGCAGCAGCCAAAGGAAAATACGAAATTGTCAAATTATTGTTGAAGGTAAGATAATCATCCGCCAGATCTACACTCACTGGCAAAAAAAAACGGACAGAAAAAATTTTAGCCAAAAGCTCTTAAGTCATCTACTAGATAGATAACATACAGATCAGAACCTCGTAAGTCTGTTCACATGGAGAATCACAACAAGATTTTCCTTCGCATCACTGCAGAAATATTCGAGAAGATTGACCAAATACTTCATCATAAACTTACTTTGATGTCTGACATGGATTTCAGTTCAGATAATGAATGAAACAATAGAGATTTATACTTTCTCAACAAGCACAACTTAACCCTATCCTCTCGTGCAGACTTACGAGTTTTTGAGTTCAAAATCTCTCAGAGTAGAGTTAGGAGGTTTAAATTATATCTAATAGATGTCGTTATCAAAAACATAGACTCACGATGATTTTGTGATGGATGCGCTGAATTTCGGAGATAGTGAAAATGGTCAAACCCAAAATTCCCTAGAATTCGGACTTACGAGGTTTTGATCTCTACCCTTCGCTACTCAACAAAAAGTAGTTGATCTTGTCGCTCATAGATTCCGCTCCTTTACTTAATAGAATTTCTGGTTTCATTGCTCTCATAGGGATGGGTTCATCTTATTAGTGTAAATCAAGGCTACAACAAACATTTTCCATTTCTTTAAATAAAAAATATAAAAATGTATCGTATTTTGTTCCGTTTTCGTTTCAGCATGGAGCAGACCCCAGTAAGAAAAACAGAGACGGCGCCACCCCTTTAGACTTGGTAAGAGAGGGTGATCAGGACGTTGCTGATTTGCTCAAAGGCAATGCCGCCCTTTTGGATGCCGCTAAAAAGGGCAATTTGGCGAGACTCCAACGATTGGTCACCCCCGATAACATAAATTGCCGGGACGCTCAAGGCCGAAATTCCACGCCTTTACATTTGGCAGGTAAAAAAAACTGTTCGCTCCTGCTTTTCAGATTTAGAAATGCCTAATTTATCGCATTCGTATCTGAAGTAGGCAATATGTTCTTTGAATCTTGTGCCTATGTTTCTACGTGTTTGCCCAATATATGTCATTTTACTATCATTGTAATATGTTCTTTAAATCTTGTGCCTATGCTTTTACGCGTTTGTCCAATATAAGTCATGTAACAATCATTGCCATTTGAAGAAAATACACGTAATTTTGTGATTTTCGACATTCAATTGTTTTCTAGCGGGATACAATAATGTGGAAGTGGCCGAATACCTTCTGGAAAATGGCGCCGACGTTAATGCTCAAGACAAGGGCGGCTTGATTCCCTTGCACAACGCGTCCAGCTACGGCCATTTGGACATTGCGGCGTTGCTCATCAAATACAACACCGTCGTCAACGCCACTGACAAATGGGGTTTCACCCCGTTGCACGAGGCCGCACAAAAAGGACGGACGCAACTTTGCGCCCTCTTGGTGAGTAGTGTTACGATAAAACAGCAATTTTTTTCGATTTTTTATTCATTTTCTATTATGGACCCCTTGAAAAAATTTTTGATTGCCTATGAAGCCGGGATTCCAATTTCATATCGGTGTCCTTAAAATTCCGAAATTGAGGAAAACAATTGGTAACTACGCACCTGAAGTTGCAATATCCATTTTATGTGTTTTGTGTTGAAAAAATCTAGAATTTTCACTTATAAAACTACTAGAGCTTAATTCATTACCGAAAATGTTTTCGAGAATTTTATATCGGTGTTCTTAAAATTTCGGAATTCTGACCCCCAGGAAAAAATTTAGTACCTACGCACCTGAAGTTGCAATCTTCATTTTATTTGTTTTTTGATGAAAAACCAAGAATATTCACCTATAAAAACACTAGAGCTTCATTTATTACCGGAAATGTTTTAGAGATTACGAATATTTTGAAAATTCGCCCGAATCTCATCAAATATAACACCGTTGTCAACGTCACTGACAAATGGGGTTTCACCCCCTTGCACAAGGCCGCCCAAAAGGGACGGACGCAAATTTGCACCCTCTTGGTGAGTAAAATTAATCTTCCTATATTTTTATTCTAAACCCCCTAAAAAATAGCATCGGTACTCTCCTGAATTAACGATTCGTTTTTTTTATTTTTTCATTTCACTATATACTAAGATGCATATTTTGGAACAAACAATTCGCCCTCAGCGTATATCCCAAGAGTAATGTCCCACCCTGTATACCGTGTAAAAGACTAACGGAAAATATTATTCCGTGATCAAGTTGGCTCACGGGGCGGACCCCTTCCTCAAAAACCAAGAGGCCCAAGCGCCCGTCAACCTCGCCTCCGCCGACGACGTGCGCTGCCTCCTCCAAGACGCGATGGCCTCCCAGCAGGGCGTGGCCACCGCCTCCCCGAGCCCCGCCCCCTCCCTAGCCCCGCCCACCGCCCCCGCCCCCTCCGTCTACGAGACAATCGTGATGCCTTCGGGCGCTGCGGTGCAGCTGCTCGTGCCGATAGGTGGTCGCGGGGGTGTGTCCATGGGCGGGGCCACGCCTCCCGACGGGTGCGCCTCGGGAAGCGGGGCTTCGGCGGAGGGGGCGGGATCGATGGGCGGGGAGGTGTGTTCGGTGGCGGCGTTCCTGCAGAGCCTGGGTCTGGAGCGACTGCTGGACGTGTTCGAGCGGGGAGCAGATCACGCTGGATATTCTGGCGGAGATGACGCACGAGGATTTGAAGCAGATCGGGATCACGGCGTACGGGTTCAGGCACAAGTTGATCAAAGGTGAGCTGTGTTTATTTCTTACTGCTTCTGGCAGTGTTGATGGGGTTGTATACACTTGTCGAATTTAGGCCACATACCTATTTTATAGTGATCAGTCCGTGTATAAATAGTGTTTGATGCAATCATTCGTTATTAAAAAAATCACAATTTTTTTCACAGTTTTGACTTGTGATTTGGCCCTTTTGTTGAAAATGAAAAACAGTGGATTCTCATGTTTCCGTGTATTTGTAGAATTATGGTGATTTGAAAGATTATTGCTATGGGAATCATATACAGTTCTTTAGTGGAACTAGTAGAACGATTACTCATACCTATATGAATTTGATGAGACGATGGGATGTCAGATTATAACGCCATCTTACTGTCTATTACTCTTATTATGTTCCGCTTCATAGATAATGTTAAGTCGTGTTTTTCGTCAATTAATCTCGTTTTCGAAATATCAGCTTTTATTCAAAGTCTCTGACAAACTCTTTAGTTATTTCTGACATTTATGTAACTAACTAATAAATTCTTTTTTGTTTCAATATATACACAGGGTCAATATATATAGGGTCATTATAGATAATGATTGGTATGAAGACATCACAGATAAAATAGCATTTTTCCAGTTCAATATTCATCAAGATACTATTATTATTTTATTTTCCACTTCTAGTTTCGCTATCTATAAAAGCGTGTTTCTTTAGTTTTTCAAACTACCATTTATTTCAACTTTCTATTCAGTTTACTTGTATTTCCCAATTTTGACGAAAGGATCATAATATTGAATCGAATCAGAATATAATTACAAAACTCGTCCGCAATATTGGATCTACCATCTTGAATTCCCTAATTTTGACGAAGGAATCATAATTCTTGATCCCGAAAACGTCCACTTACAAATTTTTAATAAAATCGGTATGTAATTACAAATGTCGTCCGGTATATTGGTTCCACCGTCTTGGATTTTCAAATCCTGCCCTCTCAAAATTTTGACAAAAGAATCATTATCTCCGACCCCGAAAACTTCCAGATAACAATTCTGAAGAGAGTCGGATCATAATAACAATACTTGTCCGCCATATTGGGTCCGCCAGCTTGCATTTCCTAATTTTGACGAAAGAATCACAATCTCCGACCCCGACAACCACCAGATACCAAATTTGAATAAAATCGGATCCTAATCACAAAATCCTCCATTTTGGATCCGCCATCTTGTATTTCTCAATTTCGACGAAGGAATCATAATCCCCGATCACGAAAACCCTTTTGATGTTCTTCTCCACATAGGTATGGAACGATTGGTTGCCACCTGTGGAGGCCTGTGGTCGCACACTTCCAATTCCTCTTCTGGCACGCTATTGGTCGATCTTCTCACCGACGACAAAGAGTTCATCACGGTGGAAGAGGAAATGCAAAACGGTATCAGAGAGCACAGAGACAACGGACACGCTGGTGGTGTCTTCTCCAGATACAATATCGTCAGAGTAAGATTGAATACTTCAGATTTCATAACAATAGACATACAGGGTGTTCATATACATCTTCATAAAATTTGGTACACGCCTTTCATGCATCAAGGTACATTTTCTGATGTACAAAAATTTCCATTTTCCTCACCAGTGGCACCGCTACGGGAATGTTATTGTTTATTAAAAGGGGGAAGGAAACCTCAAAGTCATCTCCACAACATTAAATATTATTTCTGGTGTTGAGTTGGCGGGAATTCGGTGGAAATATTGAAGAAAACCAATTTTTAAATTGTCGACGTTTCGAAACTTTATTGTTTCATCTTCAGGAAACTGAAGTAAAAAACAAGAACATACATATTTAAATGATATTTTAAAATGAGGGGTCTTGATAGAAGCAAAATAAGTTATGTAAAATAACAATCGTTGAAAATAAAACACTTCTCACACTTTACAGAAAACAACATTGATAGGTACTTACATTAAGGGTGTGAATACGTACACACAGGTTCATGAAATACCTTAACACAGACACGAACATGAAGGAATGAACAAACTGAACTGTCGTTGAATCGTTTCTTTATATTAAATTCTCAATTTACACACATTCGCGTTTATATTTTACTTAAAAGTGAGCAACGACAAAAAAATTTCAAATTTTATACAATGTCATAAAAGGCTAGTTAATTATGTACGAGAAAGATCCTCTTGTTGATACTCGATAGAACGCTTCGTTTTCGAGAAAAAAACGGAAAAACGAGACCAGACTTCAAATTTTGATGTTTAAGTACTCCATTATCAGGGCATCCATTACTGGATAACCACAGTATGTAACATTTCGAAATTCGAATACCGATTCAGTCACATAGCAGACTGAATTTTGCCACCACGGAAAGCTACACAGGGTGGACAAAAAAATATCTATCCATATTTTCAACATTGACACATTGTATCTCAAAAGTTAGGAGGTTTACGACATACATATTCATATGAAGTTTTATTCTTGGAATGAGTCGAAGAATCGGCCCCTTGAATATAAGCATATCATTGAGGAACACCTTGTATACCGCGATTGATTTATGAATCATTAATAGATACACGCCAACAAGAATGAGTGAATGAATGGAATCGCGAGTAGTGGGGATAATTCTGCAGAATTTATATTTTTCACAAATATATTTGATATAGCTAATAGATTGGGATTTCTCACCTGTAGTAACATAATAATAAGTCATTTTGTAACTCCTTTATTAGGTAATTTGATATTTTCAATTTTTAAATATGCATTATTCCAGATTTTTCGTCTCTAAAAAATAAAAACATGAATACTATTTCAATACACGTGTAATAAGGACAAATCACATGAATTACCCCAAAATGTCATTGCGTTTAAAGAATTTTCCTATCAGAGAGCCTAAAAGAAAAATTCACTAGTATAGCTTGTCAGTGACAATTTGTACTGAAAAATGTTTGTAGAGGAGAAATAAAGGTATATAGGAAAAATGCAAAATTTTTGATTATTTTCGGACGTTTCGGAAACGAATCTGCTCCCGTTTCCAACCTAAAAAATTGTTTTTTTGTATTACAAATTCGTATTTGTCATGAGCATTATAGTTACTTTGAGGCTCTCACCCTCATAACATGATATACAATCTCGCGATTTGCTCTCCCAGATCCAGAAAGTCCAGAACCGGAAGCTCTGGGAACGCTACAGCCACCGCCGACAGGAAGTCAGCGAGGAAAACGCCAACCAACCCGGCGAGCGCATGCTCTTCCACGGCAGCCCCTTCGTCAACGCCATCGTTCAAAAAGGCTTCGACGAACGGCACGCCTACATCGGCGGCATGTTCGGCGCCGGCATCTACTTCGCCGAGCACTCGTCCAAGAGCAACCAGTACGTGTACGGCATTGGGGGCGGGACCGGATGCCCCGCCCATAAAGATCGCAGCTGCTACTCCTGTCACAGGTGAGTTGTCGCGCGTCTCGCTGCGTCACAGGTGGGCGTGACTGCGCCACAGGTGGGTGTGTCCTAGCGACAGGTGGGTGTGGCCGAGATACAGGTAGGCGTGTCTAAGCAGCTCCAAGTGGGTGTGTCCTAGCAACAGGTGAGTGTGTCCTAGCGACAGGTAGGTGTACCCGAGCTACAGGTAGGCGTGTCTAAGCAGCACCAAGTGGGTGTGTCCTAGCCACAGGTAGATTGTCTTAGCAACAGGTGGGTAGGGTTCCCAATTTTCAATATCGGGATCAGGAACGAAGTAACAAGAAGAAATACATTGAACAGGTAAAGTTTCGATTCAAAAGTAGTGAGGAAAATGTCAATAGAAGGTGCAATTGAAATAATTTCTAAATATCTTCGTTTAGCTCGGTGAAAATAAAGTATTCACTCAGAAACACCAACGCGTCTAGTCAAGTCCTTGAAAAAAAGAATAAAGCAGTCAAGCATGCGTCACAGTTGAGTTGTTCTTGAGCCTTGCTACGTCACAGATGAGTTCGTGTAAGCCACAGGTGAGAGTGTCATAGCAACAGGTGGGTGTGCTCGAACCACAGGTAGGCGTGTCCAAGCAGCCACCGGTGGGTGTGGCCTAGCTACCGGTGGGCGTGTTTATGTCACAGGTGGGTGTGTCCAAGCCACAGGTGGGTGTGTCCAAGCCACAGGTGGCTTGCAAACGTCACATATTGGTAGGGTTCCCAATTTTCGGGATCGGGATCGGGATCAAGATCGAAGTAATAATAATTGAGAAATACATTCAATAGGTAAAGTTTAGATTCAAAAATACAAGAATAAAAAGTTTCCTACCATTTGGGAACTAAAATATCAAAAAATCATCTTTGATAATGAAGCATGAAACTAGGAACTACAAACAATTATGGTGAGGAAAAGGTCAATAGAAGGTGCAACTGAAATAATTTCGAAATATCTTCCGTTTGTCTTGGTAAAAATGAAATATTATCTCAGAAACACCAACGCATCTAGAGTCAAGTCGTTTAAAGAATGCCTAGGGAAAGTATTTTCTGAGGAGGCAATTTTTTTCATATTTTGATTGAAATGACAATCAGAAATATTCTTGCACTCGTCCTACAGAAATAAAGGTTAGATACGTATGTCGATTTTTTGCGGATGATCATATCACGCGTTTTTCCGTGTTTTTCATGTTACGAAATATCGTGAATTCCAATAATTATTCAAAAAATTTACAGAGCTCTGGGGGAAAAAGGGTTTGCGACTGTCAAGTGGGAGGGTTAGTACTTCGAAATGATGAAATACATTTTTTCACTGAAACATGCCCATGGACGTAATGTCTAAATATCTTCGATTTGCTTGGTGAAAATTAAGTATTCTCTCAGAAACAGTATCGAGTCTAGAGTCAAGCCATTAAAAAAAGGTAAAGAAGACAGGTAAGCATGCGTCACAGATGGGCGTGGCCATGCCACAGGTGGGCGTGATTGAGTCACAGGTGGGTGTGTCCAAAACACAACTTGGCGTGTCTTATCCACAAGTAGGCATGTCTTATCCACAATTAGGCGTGTCTTATCCACAAGTAGGCGTGTCTTATCCACAAGTAGGCGTGTCTTATCCACAAGTAGGCGTGTCTTATTTACAAGTAGGCGTGTCTTATCCATAAGTAGGCGTGTCCACGTCACAAGTTCTAAATGGATGATTCCATTGCAGGCACCTTCTGCTTTGTCGCGTCATCCTCGGCAAGTCGTTTCTGCAGTTCAGCGCCATGAAGATGGCCCATGCTCCGCCTGGTCATCATTCTGTTGCGGGTCGCCCCTCCGCCGGCGGGCTCAACTTTCCGGAGTACGTGGTGTACAGGGGCGAGCAGGCCTACCCGGAGTATTTCGTCACCTATCAGATAGTCAAGCCGGAAGAGGGGACGACAGGTGAGTCGGTGAGATTGGATCTATTTTTGCGATTTTTCTCGCAAGAATTCGTGGTTTGAGTGCTCTTTAGAATACACTCTGATTCGAATCAGCTTTGAAGTGATAACTTCTCGAGGCCCTTTAGGCAATTTCTGGGATGGGAGTAAAACGGCCGCTACACCTGAACCCTCAGTATTCCAGTGAATACCGAGACAGATACCCAGTGTAGTCTTCAGCTCTGATCTGACATGCATTCAAATCACGGATAGTCTAATAATACTGTGTTCTCGCTTGCATAACAAAAAATCCCTATAAATCATTCACATCATATACTGGATGAGTAAGTAATAAATACATATTTACAAGATTTAAATATTCGAAATTTCTCATTCATTAAATTTCTTCATTCATATTTTTATTTCTTTAGAGATATTGGAAATACTAACCGGCCCTAGAAGTTATCACTTCCGACGTGTGATTTTACACACAAGTTTTATTTTTACATTTCGTGAAGACATTTATCAAGGTTATATGCTTTCACAATATACCATTTTAGGCAGAATGTGGCCCAAATATCGATATCGAATTGAATATCTTTTCATTGGCAACACTGAAAAAATTTGAAAATTTAATTTCATTATTACAGTACAAGTCGAATTGAAAATTTAAAATTGTCATCTGGTTTTGATTAATTACTTTCATCGAGATCATCGATCTATTATAAATATCAGGTTGCTACTGTAAGTAGGATCCCCCATACACAAATATAACCTCTTATTTAAATTATCTCATGCAAGGTCAAGAAGTTTCCTGTTTTATTTGCAAACGTCATTCTGTTCCTCTACTTATACTTTTTATGAGAGAGTAATTGTCTTCTATTATTAAGTCATCATTATAAATTAAGCTCTGTTTACTACTGAACTTAGATGGAGTAAAATCCTCGCGGTGAATTGCATATACCCACATTTTCGATAGCTCCTCGTCCAACGGGAAACTAAAAGCATGAACTTTTGAACCACCCACATAATTCCCCCGACAAAAGGGAACACAACACTTGAAAGGCATTGTTATTTCGCCGATCACAACACAAAATATTTCACAAAACAGTAATTTTTCCGCCAATTATTTTGATGAATAAACAACAAAAGAATTCGGGACCGTTTCAAAAACATACGTGAATCACCGATGAATTAACACGAACTGACGCGTTAGTTGACAAGCGATAAAATAATACACTGGCCTCTCTTGGTGACGTCACGAGCTGTTTACGTCAGAGTCTGCTGGCTTTGTTGTATCGGTGGTAACGCACTAGCTGGCTACGCGTCCTATGTTTTTGCGTATAAAGTCACTTTTCGCACTCGTCCTCAAAACGTTATTTTGCCGTTCCGTCGTAGGTGCAGAGAGCGAGGTGAGGTGATTCACCCCCCCACAGGAACGTTGGTTGCTGTTGCACCCTCCCAGGACTTTCAAGCAGTACGTCTGTGCGTTATTGTGTCACACTTTGCGGTGTCTGGTGCCGGCACAAAAGCGTTGCAGCTGCCACGAGCAGCAGTGACGTTTTCAATCGAAATGCCGGTAATGGAGTAATCATAGATTTGTTATCTCAAGGACTAGAAACCTTTCAAACCATAGAAACTTTACGTGCTCGAAGGCTCGAAGTTGTCTAACGTAGGGTCCCTTGATGTAAATTGACGTATTTGTCATCTTAGCAGGGTACGGACAGATCCTCGTCTCCTTTCACTCTAAAGTGTTTGTGAAACAGTTATATAGTTCAATCTTCATTCATTTCTGGGATAAACACTAGATTTATGACATTTGTTGTTTTTTTCGGTTATATTGAAGACATTGGCGTATCGTACGTAATTTCCACATGTGACTTCTCATTCAACTCTACATATTTCCAAATGATGATGATAATTTTTGATATTTCAACTCCAGCATAATCTTTGTGAGGCAGTGAGCAAATTTTTCTGAAAGTTTGATACGTTTCACTAAATGGGACTGTTCTTAGGCAATACCTATCAATAAATTAATTTTGATTTCAGACTAAGCCTTATGATGGAAATGGTGGAAAATGTCATGTAGGTATTCAAACTAACGTGCTCATATGTCATGTGTGCTGTTTATCTATCTGTTGGGAATCATTTTTGCAGTTTTTCACGAACACTTAATATTTCCTGAATGTAGGTATAATTTTATAAATGGTAGGGCATGTGCCTCTTCTTTTAAACTTCCGTTTTAATCGAAACTGTTTCTACTGAAATGCATTCAGAAACTTGTAGAGTTGATAATTATAGACGCCGTCAAATTTGTTCACAATTGAATACTTTTCTACCGTGAACGAGAGAGAAGAAAGTTCTCTCCTCTTTCATCTTTCTCTTCAATGCTACCAACGTGGTCGCATTGAAATATAAAGAGGTCCGATGAATCTTTCCTTGTCTAACATCTAGTTTGTGCCACTGAACCATTTTTGAATTCAACAGTGTCAAATTAACGATATATCTCACTAGAACAGCACTGAATCAGTTATCATGTGTTCTTTCCAAAGAATTTGATTAGTTAGAATGCATGTTATCTGCTGATTCAGTTCAGTCCAAGTGATATTTGTCAGTTGTCAGTTCCTGAAGGAAAGAATATCATTATTCGCGATAGAAAATAAGCGTACGCCACCTATCGGAGTTCTTGAAAGCTGTCAAAGCAATTTGTTTACTTTGTTTTCATTGGTTCACACTTGTTTTTTGTTTGTGCTTATTGGTCACATCATCAAAACAAACCGCTCAAAGTTCAATTTGTTATCGTCAGATGGAGTGACGTGTTATTTTCTATCGCGAATAACATCGAAAATAGTTCAGTGGCGCAGACTAGAGGTTAGACAAGGAAAGATTCATCGGACCTCTCTATATTTCCTGTGTTGAAGGATTTCTCAACGTGAATCTTTCTGTGTAGAAACAAAATGTTGCTGCTGCACTTTGGCGACACTCACCATAAATCAAAGGCATGTGAACAACTCCATTATTTTGACAATGCACAGAAAAACAAATGAGAGAGAGAGAGAGAGAGGATCTGATGACTAGCGCTAGACAAAAAAAATTCGAGTAATCATCGAACATAGATTCTAACAACCAGGACCGTAATAAAATTCAGTCAAAATTCAAGAAATGTTCAATTGAGGTGGATATTGGTGGATTTGTCTATCTCAATAGATCATACATTCTCTTGAAAATTGTCTAACCTTCGAGAACACTCTGTATATTTCAGGTATTGCCACTAACAACAAATACAATATTCTGAAATACAGTTAATTGCTGTTAGCAACTTATATCGACAATGTGAATAATTCTGCCTCCTTGAGATAATGAGTCTATGAGTTGATCTTCTTCGCGATGAGCGAGTAGCGGACTATGCTTTCTCGACGAATAAATTACCGATCGAAATTCGAGTAACGAGTCGTTTTTTATTGCATTTACTGATCTGTCATGAAGTTTTGAGTGCCAAATCATACAATTCGCCGCCATTCATTAGGACTTCACGTGAAAGTGCAATACTAATGTTTCGAATGAATGGAGCTGGAATTAAGGGATAGATATTTTTCGTGAAAAATGTCCTATTGCTGAGCATCCGAAGAAAAATATATTTGGTGAAATTATTGCTATGCTCTTATTCTTCAGGAGTTGAATTCGAATTTTCATTTCTAGATACATTGTTTTTTTGGAGGTTTTATAAAAATGTTCAGGTGAGTCACTGCATTTTTTACAGGAAAGGTAATCCAGGATGTTATGATTTGATTCGAATTTCTTTGATGTTTTTATGGTTTAATTATGGTGACTTGTTTATTTTTATTGAAAGAAAAATACAATTAAGCCACAATTCGTTGTTTTGCAATGAGATTCTTGCCCCTTGTTAGATTGATTGAGAGACTTTGTGAGAAAATATGGATTTCATAAATGTGTTCAATTTGTACATAGTTGTAAAATTATCATAATTTTTTTCAAGATGACTGTTTTTTATTTTTTTTTATTTATTATATTATTACCTATATCTTGTTAAGACTTAAAACAAATCTGAATGTCCAATTCAGTAAAATTCAAATGTGATATAAATACTGAGGTTTTTGATAATAGAATGTAGAATGTTTAATTTTAATTTATATGGTGTGGTTTCTGTTGAAAAGTTATTTGTTAACTTTGAGATGAAATATCTTGTGATTTTATTGATTTCTTGTACAGTCGTCTTCAGAGATCATGTCGCGGTTGGACGGTGTCAGCGCTCTTATTGCAGTAGTTATTAGGAATGCTATCATCGTCCATTTGCGACATGTTTTCTGAAGATGACTGTACCTACTATAATGTTAATGATTATATTTTTTCTGTGTGTTTTTGAACCGTTATTCTCCTAGCCTTTCATTTTTGAAATCTGAATTAATTTCTAAACAATATTTCATATCACATTTATCGTTAACAAATTCGAATCAGTATATAACTATCAACATAAATTTTCTTTGAGGAAATATCAATCTGGCGTAGGAAAAAAACTACAAACTTTTTCTCTTTTATTCAGAATCGAATTTATACAATAAATCCTTGTAATATAAAGATGAAGTAGATCACAGTTGAATATATTAAAGCACAGTTAACTTTGGCACACACTGATATACAGGGTGTTTCAGATTGTAATCAGAAAAATTCGAAAAAAAAAATAGTTTTCCATCAACAGCTTAAACATTCCATATGTTTATAGTTTTCAATAAAAAAATCTGAGATTTTGAAAATTTGTCATCAGTTACCGACCACTCTGAATGTTGGCATTATGAAAGATTATACAGGAAGGTAATCGAAAAGGTCGAAACACTGCATCTGGAATATATAAAATTGTATTCTGATTTTTGCAAGGAACTACCGCGTATCAAATTTCCCCGACTAAAATCTGAAACGCACTGTAGAGTAAAAAAATCAACGAATTAGTGAATAATAGAAAAACATTCACCTAAAATGATGGAAGTGGAAATAATTTCAAACACAACTTGAAAACATTGTTGTCTTTGTTGATTGTATGATTACATTTTTCATTATTAGTTTCAATTTTTTCATTAACAAAAACAATATCTAAGTAACTATTAAAAACTGATTTGAGTTTCATTGTTTCTCAATCATTTTCAATCAACATCATGTTGTAATTATATTTATTATTCTTTGGCTTTCAAACCAACAGATATCTGGGTTATTTAAAAAAAAACAAAAAATTGTGGAATATATGTCAAACAATCTACTACGTGGTTCATCAACATCACATTCTCAATTCAGTGATATATCGTACTAGACATTCAGCATGAAATTGATCCCAGGAAATTTCGAATAATTTTATAATTTTTATCAAAAAATAACAATTTTTCCTCGAATGATTGTTTGAAATGACTGTTATCAACTGCGGCCATACCCTGAATATGGAAAACTCGCCATTAAAATCATATAATCTTGTTGAATTTTCTATATAAAAATGTGTCATCAATAAGTACATCATGAGAGTATACTGGTTGGGGTGTATCTAAATAATACCAAAAAAATTCAAGGTGTGATTCCTTGTGATATTTCAGGAAATAAAGTTCATATAAATGTGTGTCCTAACTTCGTTTCGAGATACAGGGTATTAATCTTTCCATGAAAAATCTTTTTTGTATTCATTTCTCAATTGTCTTCTCATCAATTTCAATAAAACGTTGTGGTTTTGTCAATAGTAATATGGAGCTTCTCCTAGTGCAATTAGATTCGAAATAATATTTCCAGTGGCGTCACAGTGGGTAAATTTATCGATATTCATGGTGAATGTCATTGTACAGGGTATCCCGATTTGGGTATCTCCCTTTTCAGTAAAGATAGAGAATTGCGGTTTTTGCGACAGTGTGCTACTTATTTATGCAATTGATAATGGCGCAAGCAGAATTGTGATAGCTCTTGCTTCTGGTTGTCGGGATACAGGGTGGAATTGAAAAATATCACCCCCCGTGTCTCAGTTATCTTTGAACTAATCGAAGAAATTAAAACTTGTTTTTATAGAGTTTTTCTCGTAGAATCCAGTGGCGTAGTTATTTTCTTGCTAGCACCTTTTGTTTTTTAGTTATGGAGCAAACATGTTTTTTAAATGGGCTTTCCAAAAATATATAATTGTATACAATTATTTCCAAAAACAAGCTCAGAATTTCAGATTTTCGAAAAAAAATCTTTAGGTTGAAGGATATGGCTGAACTTCATTGAAAACAAAATTTATGCGAGTGATTATTATACTTCTTATACTTTCAAACTCAATTCAAATAATATTTTTTGATTTGTCATTCCTTAATTATTTATTACATCATTCAAACATAACTAAGGATTTTTTTCGGTGTTATTAAGATACACCCTGTATAAAGTATCCAATGACAAAATAAGAATAAGAGCAAGTAGCTCTAAATACATCCAACACAGGGGGAAAAAGAAGGCGAAATTTCGAACTTTCTCTTGAAATATATCTGGATAAATAGTGGTTTGTTCATATTTTCATTATCAAATTCTTGTTTTTCAGACAATAATATTTAAGTAACATACCATAGAATGAAAAAAATAACATGCATCGGGTGCAATATGAAAAACCAGAGTAAGGGGTGATTTCTAGTAGATTGTTTGATACGAGGGTAATTTGATCTCACCATTTTAGAGAGCTTCTGCTTCCATAAATTCTTCAATTTTATGAAATTTTTTGTATATTGAGATAAGACACAGATATTTGCTGGCCTGAAAGCACTGGGACATCTGGTATATAGGATCAAACCGGAGTTTGATTTTCCAAATTTCGATTTTTTTGAACAACCCTTTGAATCTTAAACAAAATCGAGTGAATCTGATAAACATTTATATAGCCTCAAGGAAAAAACAGAATATCAAAACTTCTTTTACTCACATAAACTCTAGAAACTTCATCTCCTACTTTTAGTCTTATTCATTTTGGCACATTTTCGAATACCATACTTGGTAACTTAGGTACAGAGTGTATAGATAAATAGATGAACTTCTTTTTGAAAAAATATCGTTTCTAAACCAGGTATAGGTACCAGATTTTCTCCGTAGAAAAATAAACGATGAATCTGTGTCAGCCTTTCGAAAGTATTTCGTTGATTCAAATGGTATGCCAGTTTGCCATGAGCTGTCCCAATTTAGCAGACGAATGACTGCTCACGTTGTAGTAGATGGTATCGCCGCCAGCCAAAATGGCGCCCCATTCGCCAAAAGTACCTGAATATAATCAACATACCCTGTGAATTTGATTATATGATGAAATTTTTGATAATACAGGAAAAAATCTAGAGGATATAACTTGTAATTCGTGTTCAGGAAATCGAGATCACCTTGTATACGAGTTCTCACGATCTTTTATTCCTCTCATGGAATCGAAAAATACTGTCAAACCAATCAAAATGATTAGATTTTTGAAATTTGGTATCCAATCATCGCTTCCCAGGCAACCAGACGACGAATGATCACGTCACTGTGACGTCACTAATTGGTTATTTTTCGTCACACCAATACTATGACGTGTTGATAACGTTATCATCTCGACGTCGTGTAAACTTGCCCTTAGAAGGGTAAAATAAGACGTCAGTTTCATGACGTTGCAGGGACGTCCTGTCGACGTCTATATGTTTCCCAGACCATCCCTAAACTATCTATACTTACATTATTATGTGAAACCGTTAGGTTCGTGACGTATACCTATATATGCAGGATGGGCTTTTTCAGTGTCGAATAGTTTTCAGAAAAAATCGTTTTCTCATTAATTTTACACACATATATAGAAACATGTACGTCTTGGTAATTTTATATATATGCTTTTAACGTCGATAGAAGTATAACTCATTGAAACGAATCGAAATGAAAGTTTTATTGGAATTATATTTATATACCCAAAAAGTAAGAGAAAACTTTTTTAAAATATGACGCCCTGTATATCTCGGAAACCTATCAAGGTGTATAATATATAGGTGTACCTATATTGAAACCGTCACTCTTATGACGTTGCAGTATCTCTGACGTCTAAAAGTCGCGTCGGTGTGACATACCAATTTGGTGAGCTTTGTCGGTCAGAAAATTTTTCGATAATTTATTGCTATTGAGATTCTCGTTGGATGACAAATAATACATGAATATAAGTTACTCAACAAAGTGGAGCTTAATTCACCAACATTCTTTCTATTGCTATCAAACTATTCTTGGTTTGCTTACATTTCGCCGACACAAACTACATAATTTTTTATACATATACGAACTGATTTCATTCTGATGGAGATGCGTACTAACGGATAGCGATGCTGAAAAGACGATTGCATGAAGATCAATATTATATGTCATCAGAGGTCAGTGGTGATTATTTGAACGTCATTTTGACGTCATTTCGACGTCACAGATTGGTGAGTGAATGACGTCAATGAACGTGAGTAATATGACATCATTGGGCTGTGACTTATTTACGTCATACGGCGTCAACACCTGACGTCACCTTGGTCATTCAACTGACGTGAAAATACGTCACTGGATCTGGTTGCAGCAGCGCAGAAAGTTGAAATTTGTCACTTCTCTCAACCGGATGTGGGAATAATTTCAGTGATCGAACAAAAAATTTAGAATATCTGAAATTTAGCCAGATAAAGAAAAATCGAGATCATATTTATAGGTGCCTATCACATTCCCTAATAGCACACAACGTTGTTCACATTTTCATCATCAAATTCGTGTTTTAGACAAAAATACGTGAGAACCAAAAAGGATTTTGGAAAAAAAACCAATCGAATGATAAATGCAGTTTCACCGCCAGAAATTCTATTCAGTAGGTAGAGGTCAACTACTTTTTTTGTTGAGTAGCGAAGGGTAGAGATCGGTAATGCAGAAGATATGCGAACTTTATTTTTAGATGTTGATATGCAAGAAGAAATGTTGCATCCGGGTCGGATTGAAATATTTTCATTATTTAAAAGTCAGAATATCAAAATTGGTGATATTCCTGCGTCAGAAAGAAGGATATTCCTAGCAATTTGCAGATGGACTCCAGCAGAGTTCGTGAGTATAGACAAAATTTGGCTTTAAAATTCTACAGATAGGTGGATCATCTTGTTAGTATAAATAACCAAGGTTAAAACATACCGTAGTCATAGATGGTGTGATTACAAGCCGCCAGTATCGCCATATCTAAAGCTGGTGAGTTTTTCTGATGCCATCCCACCACGTAAGCATTATTTTTCGCCAAAAAAGTCTTCCAACACCATACCGGGTCGTCGCTAACCACTACAAACACCACTCCCTCGTATTTCTCCTCGAAAATCTTCATCGCTGCGAGGAAAAACCTCCTGTGTGCTGGACCGACGTGGTGTTTTATCCTCAGGTAGCCAATGTAGTCTGTTCTACGGACATGGACCCCAACAAACGTGGGAGTGATATTTCTGAAACAACGAGGAAGAAATGTTGACAACATAAATATGGACTTGGCAACAATTCTCGAATGGGGATCCAATAAACTTAGTAGATTTCAGTGCAAACAAAACACAAGCATGCCTTTTCTCTAGAAAAGCCTATCTCACTGTGCCCGACATGAGCTTGTCAGGAGTAACCATACCTTTGAAGACATCCATTTCGATGCTTGGTATAACTATCAGCAATTAGCTTTCTTGGGAAAATCACGTGAGATCAATTGCTAAAAGCGTATCCCAAAAACTTGGTTTTCTGTTTCGGACCAGGAGCCATTTCACCTGTAGTCAGCTGCTTATGATCTATAAGACACAGATCCGACCTGTCCTGGAATACTGTTCCCATATTTGGAGTGCAGCACCCTTACATACCCTGAAACTTTGGATTCTGTCCGAAAAAGGGCAATTCGTCTCGTGGGTAATGCCTCGCTCACAAACTCACTCGCTTCTCTGGAACACCGTAGAAAAGTTGGCGATCTGGCTCTATTTTATTGATATTTCCATGGACGATGCTCTTCTGAAATGTCAACAATTGTTCCTCCCTTGGCAGTGCCCGCGAGATTATAACCCGTCGAGTTGAGGCTTCGCACCCCTTCGTGGTCACTTTGGAGACCTGCAGAACATCTCTCTCCAAAGACTCGTTCATCCAACGAACAGCGAGGCTCTGGAACACATTGCCCCGAGGCATATAACCTCCAGAAATTTAAGAAGAACACCAATTCCTACCTTATTCCCCTTGGTTCTCACGATGTTTCCTGAACATTTCAGGATATCCCTTTTCGTGGGAACCAGAACATAAAAAAAAAACAAGATCCTATTATCAAGTAGGTATTCTCTGCTGTTATGTGAACCCCAGCACATGACTCCACTCCATTAGGTCTTTGATCGCCTGCATCTTTATCCTTCCCTATGTCTCAACAGCTTGTTTCAAAGCTAATCTCGGACCTTTCGGAGCAAAAAACCTCGAAAATTACATGATGGCAGCCAACTAAAGGCTAACTTTGTGAGGTTCTTCACATGTATTCTGCTGTTACTTCATTAAGTCTTTGACCACCTACATCTTACCCTTTGCTAGGTCTCAACAGCTTGTTTGAAAGCTAATCTTTGACCTTACGGAGCAAAAAACCTTGAAAATATCATGGAAGCCAACTAGATGAGCCTTATATCGAGTATTCTGCAGATAGATCAACCCCACTACACGTCATACGAATCTCCTCCATAAGGGCTATATCTAGACCATTTCATAGGTCTCAAAAGATTGGTTAAGAGCTTATCTCACCGATCTAGAAACCATGGCTACGTAGAAAAAACCGGCCTATACAAAATGGCTATTACATTTTGTAAGTATAGTCTACAGACAGATGGATCCCAGCTCAATCTTTACTCAGGTCTCAACAGATACTGGTTGAAAGCTAGAAACCTTGAAAATGTCTCAGGTTAGCCTTCTGGAGTTCTTTGAGGTTGAAGAATCGAATTTAGGCTAGATAGGAACTTTCCAAATCTTCCAAAAGTTAATGTCATGAGGTGCTGCAGCTATCTTCTAGCTTCCCCAGGTTGGTCAGGAGCTAATTTTATTGTAATTATGATATATCTGGGAGTCAGTAACCCACGAAACCCATCTTTGAGGGATACCATATATATTCTTACATCTTAGATTGATCTACTACTGGATCCCAAAAACTTCTTCAGCAAAACTCACTAATTCAGGCTGGACGTACCTCGCCAGAATGATGCTCTGGGAAGCCTTTGATAATGTTTGAGGTGAAACAGCTAGTCACTAGCTATTAAGATTAGTCAGAATTCAATCTTATTGTAGTCTCATGAAAACCACCATGATTTTCTGATTATCTTCGGGATTCAACCAAACAGTTCTCCAGCTTGGTTGAAAGCTAGTCCCACTTCAATTCTGACATCTTTGTGACCAGAAACCTAGGAAATTTCACGAAAATCATCTTTGATATATTCTTACATACGTATAGGTACTTCTTAGATTGATCTACTACTGGAACTCAATAAACCTCTTTAGCAAAACTCACTTAGGATATTCCTTCTCCGTCTCTTTAACCACACCTTGCAAGACTTCCTGACTCCTGGCAACCAGTTACTTCCTCATGGTAAACTCCTGCACGATATCTTGGACCCAAGTCAACATACTAATTCAGGATGGACCTAGTACCTCGTCAGGATGATACTTTAGGAAGCCTTTGATGTTGTCAGAGGTGAAACAACTAGTCACTATAGCTTTTAAGATTAGTCAGAAGCTACTCTTATTGTAATTATGATATCTCTGGGAGTCAGTAATCCAGAAAATCCCATAAAAACCACCTTTCGAGATGATTTTCTGGTTATCTTCGACGTTCAACCAAAATTCTCCAGGTTGGTTGAGAGCTATCCTTACTTCAATTCTGATATCTTTCGATGCCAGAAACTTGAGAAATTTCACGAAAACCATCTTCGAGGGATACTATATATATTCTTATACATACGTATAGGTGGTACTTCTTAGATTGATCTACTACTGGAACCCAATAAACCTCTTTAGCAAAACTCACTTAGGATATTCCTTCTCGGTCGCTTTGACCACAGCTTGCAAAACTTCCTGACTCCTGGCAACCAGTTTCTTCCTCATGGTAAACTCCTGCACGATATCTTGGACCCAAGTCAACACTAATTCAGGATGGACCTAGTACCTCGTCAGGATGATACTTTAGGAAGCCTTAGATGATGTTAGAGGTAAAACAGCTAGTCACTATGGATTCTAAGATTAGTCAGAACCTACTCTTATTGTAATTATGATATCTCTGGGAGTCAGTAATCCAGAAAATCCCATGAAAACCACCTTTCGAGATGATTTTCTGGTTATCTTCGACGTTTAACCAAAGTTCTCCAGGTTGGTTGAGAGCTATTCTTACTCCAATTCTGATATCTTTCGATGCCAGAAACCTAAGAAATTTTACGAGAACCATCTTTGAGGGATACTATATATTCTTATACATACGTATAGGTACTTCTTAGATTGATCTACTACTGGAACCCAATAAACCTCTTTAGCAAAACTCACTTAGGATATTCCTTCTCGGTCGCTTTGACCACAGCTTGCAAAACTTCCTGACTCCTGGCAACCAGTTTCTTCCTCATGGTAAACTCCTGCACGATATCTTGGACCCAAGTCAACACTAATTCAGGCTGGACGTAGTACCTCGGCAGGATGATGCTCTGGTTGGTGAAGTTCCACGCGTCCAATGACCGCACGAAATGCTCCATCTGCATTGGACAATGGCCGATTTCTTCAAAAGTTGAGACTGTCAGGTGCTCGAACACTTGGTCCAGCTTGGTCCGGATGCATCTGGGCACGTAGGGCTCCAAGCCGGTGCGTCTGGCTAAGGCCCATACTGAGGCGTACTCCCACATCTGGTTGCCCAATCGGCCACCTGAGAAATCATCATCAGCTCAGAAAAACGCCTACTGGATATTATTTCAACAAATCCGTATTTGTTTTTGGATGTATGATAAATTGATATTCATTATATGGACGTGGAAAGAAATTCTGAATTGAGAAACCCTAATCACGAATCTGCGATAGAGGTCTATAATAGCTATTTATTATACAAGGGAAAAAAGTAGTAGATTTTAGCTTCAGAAAACGGAAGAAATCCTCGCAAATTACCGCTTTTCCAGTAGGAGATGACACGCTGAAGCGAATGAGGCCATACTCAGCCCCATAGGACAGATAGTTTTTGAGATATCGGCGCTCAAAGTCAGCTTTTCGCTTTTTTGCCAATAGGAGCACTCCGGTAGACTACTACGTCTCCATTTTCCTGAATTTCTCGGTTTCCACAACAGTTTCTTTCATTACGATATCGAATTAGTCTATGTGATTTTTTTCAGATTTTTAATAGGCCAAATAAAAATTTTCATTTTTCCATCTAAGACTTCCATACGATATAGTCACCGAGCCATCTTCGGACGGCCGAAAGTGCCAGAAAACGGCAGAAATTCACGCGAATTATCGCTTCTCAATTAGAAGATGACCCGCTGAATCGAATGAGGCCATATTCAGCCCCATAGGACAGATAGTTTTTGAGATATCGGCACTCAAAGCCAGCTTTTCGCTTTTTTTGCCAATAGGAGCACTCCGGTAGACTACTACGTCTCCATTTTCTGAATTGTCTCAATTTCCACCACAGATTCGTCAATTTCGATGTTGAACTAGTCTATGTGAATTTTTTCAGATTCTTAATAGGCCAAATAAAAATTTTCATATTCCCACCTAAGACTTCCATACGATATAGTCACCGAGCCATCTTCGGACGGCCGAAAGTGCCAGAAAACGGCAGAAAACGGCAGAAATCATCGCAAATTATCGCTTCTTCAGTAGAAAATGACATGCTGAATCGAATGAGACCATAATCAGCCCCGTAGAACAGATAGTTTTTGAGATATTGGTGCTCAAAATCAGCTTTTCGCTTTTATTGCCAATAGGAGCACTCCGGTAGACTACTACGTCTCCATTTTCTGAAATTTCTCAATTTCCACCACAGATTCGTCAATTTCGATGTTGAACTAGTCTATGTGAATTTTTTCAGATTCTTAATAGGCCAAATACAATTTTCATTTTCCCACCTAAGACTTCCATACGATATAGTCACCGACGAGGTATTAGTTTTGGAATAGTGCTCGAATTTTTTTTCCGAAAAATGAATTTTTTGACCGTGCCTCGTATGCACCCTGATTTACTATCATTTATGTGTTCATAAATAGACATGTATTTGAGTTCCGATCAATACATTTTCTAGCTCATTTTGTCTTATTTATACTAAAAAAACAGTTCTTTTCTTTGTCAATCCTACCCCGATACGACGTTTTTACGAACTTTGTCGGCTTATATCTCAGAAACTAAACATACAAAACTTTTTGAACTCACAGATTTTCCTAATGAGCCATCCCACAACAACATAGTAAAATTTCAGCCAATTCGACCGAGAGCCAATTTACCGTGTTTTCGTGCGGGGTCCTTTAAGAACACCAAGTCCTCCCTTATTTCCCTTGGTTCTCACGATGTTCTCTGATTATTACAGAACAGAAAAAAATACCCTGTATTGCTTATAAAACAATCATTCTTTGCGAGTAAGTCGAACGAAGACACCTACGTCTGCTCTACAGAGACATTAAATGTCACAAAAATTTTTGCAATTATAAATTTGAGAGACCAACATACAAGGTGTTTTTTTTTCACCCACCTTGAACCACGCTCACTACCCCGTACTGAGGACACCTCCCACTCCTCCAAACGCCTCGTTTCTTGATGTTGCTCATGCAGAGCGACTGCTCGAGGTCCGAGAACGTCCTTGCGGCACCCCTTCGGTTCTTGAGCTCGTACAGGGGGAACAAGAAGACGTGCACGAAGGATATGGTGCATAGGGCGAGGATAATGGCCTTGAAAAGCAAATTGCGGTTGGTGTTCAACATCGTTCTACACTAAAGCAGCTAATTTTCTGAAGCACGCACTTGGAGTCAAAGCATTTTGCTAAACTATGGAGGAATGTGTGTCTCTCGCCCGTTTTCCTACATGTTTTCGTATCGATTTTCATCTCGTCTGGAGGGATGCTGGATAGAGAGGAAGAGACTATTTGGAGTCTGTGCAGTGGAGCATTTGGAGCAACAGCTGTAGAGGTGTATCATCTCATATGTGTCTTTGGCGGGAAATTGGATGTGTGTCCCAGACAAAATGGTAGAGGAAACGAAAACAACATTGTCTGTAGGTTAATCGAGGAGGTGGTATATTCATTATTCCAGATTTTTTGCATATTATTTCAATATATACGTGTAGTAAGGACAAATCAGATGATTTGCCCCAAAATGTCACTGCGTTTAAAGCATTTTCCTATCACCCAGCGAGCACAAAACATCTCAGAGATGTTAAAAGTACGAGATTTCGAGACATTGAACCTCCACTGCGATGTTCTGTTCACACATGAATAGAACTATTATAGAACAGCCAATCGCTGTAAAAAACCATTTTCGAGGTACTTTTCTGAAGCTTTTTGTCAAAATGAACTTTCGCATTTGGATTCCATTTCCCTTGAATGAAAAAATCCATTAAAAATAGATTGAACATAAAAATATTATCTTGATATGACATTACCTTCTTAATCGGTTTCTGAGTAGTGCTTACTACACACAGACATATAATTATTGGAAATAGGTTTCCCAATTTTTGAAATGTTCTCCACAATGCATAATTTTGCAACTGCGGAGAAGCTGTGTATTGATGAATTCGTACTTTTATATATTGATTACACTGAGGCACCGAACAACACATCTTGCATCATTATTACAAACTAAATAAGTCTTCTAACACAATAAACTTCACCAAATTCCTTTCTGTTCGTTAGCAGCGTGATGTAAGCGTGACACGCTGCAAACGCGAATGCCAATTGCGAACAAGAAGAACAAAATCGAAAACAAATCAGAATTCATCGTATTGTGACGTAAGCATGAGACGTTGTGGTGGGGCAAACAAAGAAAGGGCACAAAAGAACAAAAACAATACTTTCAATATCCTTCTAAGACCTCTTTGGGAAGTGCATATTACGCCTCAAAAAAACATCCTCATGCCTACATTTCTAAAACATCCCAAAACATCCCAGAGATACGTCTCAGTAGGCAAGCAAAGAAATGCCAAAGAAGAACAAAAACAATACTTCAATATCCTTCAAAGACCTCTTTGGTCAGTGCATATTACGTCTCAAAATAACATCTTCATGCCAACATTTTCAAAACATTCCAAAACATCCCAGGGATGTTTGTGCTCGCTGGGCAGAGAACCTAAAAGAAAAATTCACTAGATTGTCAGTGACAATTTGTGTTGAAAAAGGTTTGGAGGAAAGAAATAAAGGTATATAGAAAAAATATATAGATTGAACATGGTATTTACTACTGAAATCTGAAAATGATAAATTGAAGATTAATTTGATGAAAACATCCTGTAACTCATGAGAACTGAAAAGTTTTCAGACAAATACGAATTTGCTATTCAAATATCCATTTTTTATGTTGAAAACGGAAGCAGATTAGTGATAATTTGATATTTTTTATATAACTATACCTTTATTTCTCTTCTCCAAACCTTTTTCAATGCAAATTGTCACTGACAAGCTAGTGAATTTCTCTTTTAGGCTCTCTGATAGGAAAATTCTTCAAACGCAGTGATATTTTTGGGGCAAACCATCTGATTTGTCCTTACTACACGTATATTTATATAATATTCATATTTTTATTTTATAGAAACGAGGAGAAAAAATCCCAAAAAATCTGGAATAATGAAGAAAGTAGAAAATGATGAAATAAATGTCTGTTGACAATTAATACACAACAGAGAAAATATTAGCACCTCCGTAGGTCTTGTAGCTCGTGTATTTATCAACACTTTTATCATTTTATTTTCTACTTCACTTTTATTATTTGGTCCACCCCACAACTGTACTTTCTTTACTATTCCTAGAGCGATTTGGATTTTTTTTCTTTCATAATATACCTCAAAATGACGTACTTTGTCGAGCAAAAAAATAATCAAACAGAATGTCTTGGCCTACTCTGCGATCACAAAATCTCCATTAAAATGAAACAAAACGGATCAGGCATGTTTTTACAAAAATTTTGATTGGGGTAATCGATTCGAACTAGACAAAAATACTCTCCGATAGAAATTTTCCAAAAAAATACATACATCTTCATTGAAATAGGAAACCTAATATACATATCTGTTAGTTGATAAAATTATAACAACATGAATTTAATATTAATATTTATTTTCAAATTAGATTATAACTCGCAAGCGCAATGAATTAAATTAAATTAACACAAGCGCTATTATAAACGTTTGTTCGGAGCAGTCATACATTCAAAATTAACAAAATAATTTGTAGATACATTGTATGATTGATTATTACAGTTCAAATATTTGTTTATTATTGTGTGAGATTGCTTAGTCATATCTACCGATAAAAAATAGTGTAATCATATGATTTGAAATTATATACTAAGTTATACAATTGGAAATTCTTTTAGTGAAGTTTTAAAATTTTCCAAATTGGACAGTCTTTTTAATTCTTCTGGTAATTCATCGAAAACTATCTCAAAAGGTATTTTTATGAACGTGACAATTTTGAATAATTGGAAACAAGTCACCGTGTATATTCTTCTACGAATTTGAATGATAACAGGCATAATGGTAGTCAGGATAACGTCATATATGTCTACAGAGTGAGATAAATAACGAATAAAATAATTGAAGAAACTAATTTTTCATCACGAAATAAAAAAAAGAAGAAAAAGCAAACAAACTTTTCCTGTCTAGGCAGAGAAAGTACACTTTTTCTACCTGGTTAAGTGTAAGAGAAAAACCACTTTCCATACCGCTTGGAGAAAATCTTTTTGTCTGATACAGTATATTTGAATGACATGGTATGAATTGGTTATGGTAAGAATTAGAGGCATCGCTACATTCTCCCAGAAAAACAGAGTAGAACACATGCATCTGTCTTTATTCTCGAATAATTCACAAGCATACCTACTGAATTCACAGAATAATCTCAAAAAACAATATCTATACCTATATTATAAAACGGGAAAAGATAAAAACTTTTCTTATTCTTCTTCTTATTAAAAACAGGTACTGAAAAACACTGATTTTGTTTTTATTCATATAATATGTTCTTAGGTAATATTTGAGAAAGAAGATGAAGTATGAAATTGTCCGTGAACAAGTGATTATAATCATGACAAAGAAGTTGGGATTATCAGAAATATGCTATAAATTCTTTATTTTCAGAGATTTACCATGCAACTTCTTATTGGCGCCCTATTCATTTTTGAACCATTGTATTGGATATAGGGCTTAAAAGTACCTTCACAGCCATATGTATATCATATATCGACATTATTATCTATTTTGAAACAGCGCCAAAAATGTAGTAGGCCATGATAATAAGAAAACAAAATATCAGTCGTCATGCCTTGGAATTCTTTCTCTCTAGGAAGTTGCATGTCAACATAGGCTACCATTTAAAATTATTTCGAAACATACAGGGTGTCTCCAAAAACCATAAAACACTGAAGTTAAACTTTTTTCTATCGAACACCCTATATATTATTTCATTTTGAGATTCTCCCTGATGAGCTGATTTCAACGACCCATCATACTTGGGGTCTAGCAGTTATAATAACTGAAATATAGGGTGTGAAAAATCGAGATTTTTCAAGTTCAAGAATTTTTTGTGTCGAAACTATTCATAATTGGTCAAAACGGCTTACATGTCCCTATCTCAACTTTTGATTAACTATCTACTGATATTTAATTGGGACATATACCGGGTGATCAAAATTCTGAATTCAGCACCACCCTGTATTTGTTTCAATTAAATGTCAGTAGATAGTTGATCAAAAGTTGAGATAGGGACATGTGAGCCGTTTTGACCAATTATGAATGGTTTAGACACAAAAAATTCTTGAACTTGGAAAATCTCGATTTCTCACACCCTATATCTCAGTAATTATAGCTGCTAGACCCCAAGTATGATGGATTGTTGAAATCAGCTCACCAGGGAGAATCTCAAAATGAAATAATATATAGGGTGTTCGATAGAAAAAAGTTTAACTTCAGTGTTTTATGGTTTTTGGGGACACCCTGTATGTTTCGAAATAATTTTAAATGGTAGCCTATGTTGACATGCAACTTCCTAGAGAGGAAGAATTCCAAGAAGATAAGTGGTTAGCCTTCTAGAGACCGAGCCGTTACTGGTGGCCCACCCTGTATAGTATTGATACTTTCTCCTACGAGCGTGCAGAAAAGTAACTTTTCCGCATGATTTTTCAGTTTGACATTTCTCAAAAAAAATTAATTCTTCTCCTGTTGAAGTTGTCGATGATTTCAACGCAATATGAATCCATTTTCTAGGATGTGTTCCATCGTATAGAGTGGCAAAATACGTTGAATGTGGCTTGCATAATTTTAAAATCGGAAATGATGCGATAAAAACCTAAAAATGAAAAATCATCGATTTTCATCATCCTGTATGAGGAATATGGAAAATTACAAAACCGTTTCGAGATATTGGCTTGAACGTTCGGAAAAAAACGCTTAATGGAAAAATTTAAAAAAAATTCCTGGAATACGGAAGCGTTTGAATTTATTCATTTTTGTAATACTTTTTTCGAACACTTGGTGTATAATGACAGAAAAACTCCCGACGAGTTTTGAACAAGGAATCTTGAACAGAAAGATCGCATCTTCCAAACACTGCATTCCGATTAAAAATCCATTCATTTTTCGAAAAGTTATGACAGTTTAAAAATTGTCGAAAATTTCAGTGGTCCACTTGTTTCTTTGAGCACTTTAGTAATAAATTACACCCATAACGCATTATACCCAGCGAGCACAAAAACATCTCAGAGATGTTAAAAGTATAAGATTTCGAGACATTGAACCTCCACTGCGATGTTCTGTTCACACATGAATAGAACTATTATAGAACAGCCAATGTCCGCCGCAGGCGGCAATTATCGAGATGTCCTTGATATGTCACAAAACTACCTTCTCCCTAGTTCTTTTTAAAGCCTTTTCATGGACACAACAAAACATTTTCAACGCGTCTTGCGCACATTAAATCGCTGTAAAAAAAGCATTTTCGAGGTACTTTTCTGAAGCCTTTTGTCAAAATGAACTTTTGCATTAGGATTCCATTTCCCTTGAATGAAAAAATGCATTAAAAATAGATTGAACATAAAAATATTTTCTCGATATGAAATTACCTTCTTAATCGGTTTCTGAGTAGTGCTTACTACACACAGACATATAATTGGAAATAGGTTTCCCAATTTTTGAAATGTTATCCACAATGCATAATTTCGCAACTGCGGAGAAGCTGTGTGTTGATTAATTCGTATATACTTTTATATATTGATTACACTGAGGCACCGAACAACACATCTAGCATCTGATGGTCATTATTACAAACTAAATAGGTCTTCTAACACAATAAACTTCACCAAATTCCTTTCTGTTCGTTAGCAGCGTGATGTAAACGTGACACGCTGCAAACGCGAATGCCAATTGCGAACAAGAAGAACAAAATCGAAAACAAATCAGAATTCATCGTATTGTGACGTAAGCATGAGACGTTGTGGTGGGGCAAACAAAGAAAGGGCACAAAAGAACAAAAACAATACTTTCAATATCCTTCTAAGACCTCTTTGGGAAGTGCATATTACGCCTCAAAAAAACATCCTCATGCCTACATTTCTAAAACATCCCAAAACATCCCAGGGATACCTCTCAGTAAGCAAACAAAGAAATGCCACAGAAGAACAAAAACAATACTTCAATATCCTTCAAAGACCTCTTTGGTCAGTGCATATTACGTCTCAAAATAACATCTTCATGCCAACATTTTCAAAACATCCCAAAACATCCCAGGGATGTTTGTGCTCGCTGGGTACCATCAATTAATCATCAGATGGTGCTCCAGTTGGGCAGCATTTTCCCCATTTGCGCCGAAGGATTCACACTGAGATTGAAATAGATATTATCTCCCCCCGCCAACAATGCCCCCCAATCCCCATACGTCCCGTAATCGTAAATCGTGTGATTGCAAGACGCCATCAGCGCCAAATCCACCACTGCGGAATTACCGAGCCCCATTTTGTTGATATAAACATTCCCTTTACCAGAAAAAGCATTGCGACACCAAGACAAATCGTCACTCAGTACCACGAAAATCACATTCTCGAACTTCCCCTCGAATATCTCCATCGCTCGCAGAAAGTAGCTTTGGTCTGCTATGGTGACGTTTTGGTACTTCCAATTCAAGTACGTCATATAGTCTGTTCTTCGAACGTGTACCCCTACAAAAGTCTGAGCAGGATAAGAGGATAGCTTCGCAGCTTCACGCAATATCTGTTGACATCTCTCTAGCACTGTCTTCCTTATCTGGAAATCCATTTTGATTTCTTCGATAAACGGCACGGCAATGTCAAACAGTCTGGAGTAAATCGGCAAGATTATACTCTGGTTGGGGGAACTCCAAGCTTCCAAACCTTTCACTACTTCGACGAACCTTATTTCACAATGGGATATGTCTTCCAGAGCTGGTATGGATAAATTCTCAAACAGCTCGTCTATGGTGTTTCTTATGCAGCCTGGTACATAGGGTTCTAGTCCGGTCAGCTTGGAGACTGCCCAGACTGAGGCGTACTCCCAAATTTGGTTCCCCAGTCGGCCTCCTTGATTCACTGTGACTATGCCCCCTTGCGGGCACTTTCTAGGGACTTCAGAGACTTCCCGTATCTTTGTTTTTCCTTCGCATAAGGACTGGTGGTACACTGAGAAAAATGTTTTTGTCTCTCGAGACTCGTATATGTTGTCGAACTTTTCGTTGTTCGGGTTCAGAATGATGCATAAGAAACCTAGTACACCCACTACTGCTAGAACCACTTTGTATAGTGTATTCATAGTTCTACTTCTGTTCATTGCGAATGTGGTAAAAGGCAATGAAAACGTCGGTGTTTTTTTATGAATATATAATTGTTAGGTACCTTGGCTTATCTTATCTGAAACAGGATTTGGGTTGGCAAATATTAGACCAGGTATTGTTAGTGTATAGAACTATCGATCATAAGTGCTGTACTGGGTGATTGTTTATTATATTTTACTCAATAGCTATCTCAGTTAATATTAGTCTTACAGAAACTGTAGTATTGTGGGTTTATCTATAAACGATGTATTTTACTATTAGTATATTTTGTGCCTGATTAGGCCAGCGCGGGGCATGTAGCAAATTATATTAAGAGGCCCTTGGTTTGTTTTAGGTTCTCAGGTTCATGGTATTAAATAAAATAAAACAAAACTATTACAAATAAACTTTTCTGAATTTGATATGGGCAAATTCTGGGATATAACTTTCGAAATCGTCCTCTTTAAATACTTTTTTTTTTGACACAAGTCGTCCATTTTGATACCAAAATTAGCTCTTGAATTTACGTTTCTATTACTGACACAAAAATTGGTAAGTTGCTAGGCAACACTAAAGAGGATGTACTAGAGGTCATCAAGTTAATAAACCACATCGTTGATTGATATATTACGCTTTATATCAATCAACGACCACATACAGGGTGATCAAAATTCTGAATCTTGAACCACCCTGTATCTCTTCCGATTGAATATCAGTAAAAAGAGAATCAAGAGATGAGATTGGGACATGTGAGCCGTTTTGACAGATAATGAATAGTTTCGACACAAACAAATCCTAAAGTTGAAAAATCTCGATGTTGAACACCCTATATCTCTGTAATCATTTCCGATAGACCCCAAGTTTGATGCACCGATGAAATCAGATCTTCAGGAAGAATCTAAAAATGCAATGAAATACAGGGTATTCTATTTTTGAAATAACAAAATTGTTGCTACTTTTTGATAGAACCGACAACACTGTATTGCTGAAAATATTTTAAATGAAGAGGGTGTATTGTAAAATATGAGCATGCATATTTTCATGTATTATTCCCGACTCGATATAGAGATAGTGACATACCCTGTATACTTTATTTAGGTTATCTTTTGCAATTATTGCATGGTATAAATCCAAAAGGCAAAGCTGCGATTTCTGGCCATCAGGCAATCATAACTTATGAACCGCCCTAACGTAGGTTTCGAGAAGAAACTACACCCTGTATATATCAATATTTTGAAATCTCATTTACAAATTTGGGAAGTAACACTGAATGTATTTGATGTTTTCGCATACAATTTTTTTACCTATTAACATCAGTGAAATCTAGAGGTATCAATAATGAGGTGGCAGAAAATTAAAAAAAAACTCAACTTTTGGACCCTAGGAGAAAAGACAACAAAGCGCTACTGGGTGCTGATGAGCTACAAGTGGGTGACTGATCTCTGCAGCTATGCAGTATAAATTTCAAAAGCACAGATTGAAGAGACAGATTCGCAATCCAACTTCCCTGTTTTTAATGTTTGTAAACAAGAGGCCTGTTCGTTTGTATTGCTAAACTGGCTAAAGTTGATCTTTTTCCCATAGTTGTCTCTGTTCATGCCATGATGTAAACAAAGAAAGTCATAGAAAAAAATCAAGTTTAGCAAGCACAAACGAACAGGCCTAAGGCAAGCTATTGGCTACTATGAGAGTTGACAAGTTAACGGGCCAATCAAATGGCGAAGGACGTGGACCACAGAACGTAAACACTGGAATCTACAGCCATGAATGATCTAAATATTATGATGATGTTACAGTAAACATAACAAAAATGTATTGTTGGTTGCATACGAATATGGTCACGTGTTTAATCATTGTTGAAGACCCGGTACATCCCGGTATAAGCAATGAACTCAACAGCCAATGAATTAAAAAAAAATCAAGATCAGGAGGTGCTCAAAGAGTGCGAATTATCAACTTCGCCCTGTATCTCAAATCATGAAGGTCTGTGAGAATTATGTTTGCAGCATTATTCATTTCATAAAAAAGTAAGGTAAATCGCTAATCGCTCTCTCTCCAAAGATAACTGACGGTACATATCAAGCAACAGCATGGAAAACTGGACACACTTTACAGGGTGGTGCATATTTCAGTATATTAATGGAATGGATGTTTTTTGTTTGAATAGAACAACATAACGTCCCATTGAAGCTAAAGTGATAAAATGGAGGATAAAATAAATAAAAGATGGATACCTAGGTATAATTTCAATTTATTTTTCTCCACTCTTGTGGAGTAATTTATACATTTATTTTTATTTGGCAAAAGAGGAAGACCAAGGACATTCTTTATTTTCTTTCCATTGTGGTGCTTCTTCAGCATACACTTCTTTTTTCCATATTGGAACAGATCTTTTAACATCATCAATACACCATTCTGTGGCCTGAATTGCTTCTTTTCTGTGAGGAGAAGATATAGCAATGATGATACTGGCTTCCTTGACAGGAACTGAGCCCACTCTAGAAAATAATAGAAAGGATTAGACATTTTGTCCTATGTGTTGGTTGCAATTACTATCAAATTCAGTGTCAAATGAATTGTCTTTTGTCAATGTCAGATATAACTATTTTGACAAACGAAGGGTAGAACTGGGGCAGCTATTACAACTGTACTAAGTTACACCTTGCTTAGTACGCTATTACGACAACTGATGAAACCTCCATAATCTAGTACGTTCTTTGATTTCATCAACAATATCAAACTTCCAATGAATTTGGACCAACTTTTGCGTTCTCAGTGTATATGAATTCTCATCTTAGACTCTTTATTTTGTTCTCTGCATCTCAACATCCTGTATCTTCATAATGAAGCATTCTCGGACACAAGTTTATGTATATTTCCTTTCTTAAAATTGTCACAGGAATGTTTATTGAATATTTTAATGTACTAATGTTACACCATGTATGTTTTCATCACTTGTCGAATCTAGTACGATCTATTACAATTGCGTACTAGATATTAGTAGGAAGGATCAGCGCTGAACAGGGGGGGTCTGAGAGGTTACATTTTCAATAATCAAAACATCAACAGTTTTTGATCTAAAAGTAAATAGTTGACATATGGAATGTTGGAATCCAAAAGTAGATCAACCATCAATCTATCAGTGTTAAGTTCCTAATAAATTTCATACCTATACCTACATATATTATTTTTTGCCAAAGAATGAGGTATAAGGTACCACTTACCTATGGTATATAGCAATACCTTCAACTGTAGGCCAATGCTGACGAATTTCCTCACATATAGCTGTCATACGCTTGATGGCCATAGCTTCATAAACTTCATACTCTAAATTCACTACTTTTTTACCTTCAAAATTGTCTCTTGTTGTACCAATGAATAGTGAAATGGCACCACAAGATTTAGAGCTTACCAAATTGGAGATCAACTCCACAGATAGTCTTTCCTCAGTTACTTCCAAATAATTCATATTTTTATAGTCTAATCAGCCACCACTTAAAGGAGGAATTATTCCTATTTCATCACCAGGTTTCAATGTCACAGTGGTGTCGAGGTCAAGGTACTCTTCGTTAAGTGATATAATTACGTTATTCTTTATTACCTCCAAGGAATATGTTTTTACTATTTTTTCGAGCAAATCTTTGCAAGTAATTGGTACTGCCACTTCCAGAAATTCACTTCTTTTTCCAGAAACTTCTCTTGCTTTTGCAAAGAACAAAACTTTTACAGTTACGTTCATTACGTGATTAGTAATGAGCAGGGATATTTACACAGTTTTTATCTTGGGTTTTAGTACTTTTATCTGATATTTATAATTACTTCTAACTTTTAACAACAAAACACATAATTGAGGTTATATTAATGAGGTTATTTTTGTTGTATGTTGTGATTTGTGATTGTTGTGCTTATGCAGTGACGCAACAAACGTCTCTCGCCAGTCATTCAATTAGTAGCATGCTGCTGTGCTACGGAAATCAAAAGGTTATCAGACACTGAACTATTAACCCTACAGGGTTATTCAGGCATAGACTACAGAAGATAAACTATAAGACAGTTCACTCGTTCATTTTTCGACTTCTAAGAGATCTCGCCGCAACCTAGCCGACCGCTGGATTCTGCCGGCTAACGACTACCGGGGCCTTTGAAATCGCAATCTAATTATCTGTCAACCGACCGCAACCGTTTGGCGGTGCAATGATTTATAGAAAAGCAAAAAATGCAATGTTGGGCTGTACCGACAAACGGATTTCACTAAGTGAATCTTCTAGAATTCAGTAATCTTTGATTCAGGTGAAAACAGAAGGATAAAAATTGATAAAGGGAAATATCGTTTCTGCGTGAAGAAGGCGGCTTTTTTCAACCGATCTCGTCCTAAAGAAATATCGTGTGTTGGCTTGTTCATCACAACAAGAAGGCCAAGAAGCATAGCAGCGTGCTACTAATTGAATTACTTGCGAGAGACATTCATGTGGCGCAGTGTGAAGTCTCAAGGTCACAAGAGTTGAATGGAGTCAGAAGTGTTCCGTGCTTAATTTTTCAGCGACTGACAGTTGTTAGATTTGTTTGGATATTGGATGTGTCTATTCGTACGATCAGTCGGATAATAAGCAATACGAAATAATATGAATTAATTCGAATTATTAATTATTAACAACGATAATAGCTATCATAGCTGATATATCGACTTTCTAAGAATTCTTCCTCTGAATATGATTGATCGAACATATCTTATTGCTTATCACTTTCAAATTTTGCTTCCACGCCGCCCCTCAATAAGTAGACACACTTTTCAAGAGAATTGAACTTGATCAGTTAAAAATTAGAATAACATTTTACATTTTATCTATGATAATGAAAAATAAAATCTTATGAAGCTTATACAGATTACTGAGCCTCATCTATTTTTTTTTATGTGTGTAGAGTCAAATCCCAACAATGAATTATATCCTTCAGACTTACAAAGATGGGGTGAAAACCATAAAATTCAACAAACCCCAAAGGAAAAACGCTTTATCATCGGATATGTACCAAGCACTTCGTGAAATTTTAACCGAAGATGCCAAGAACGACAAAATTGTGGTCACCATAATCACAGGTACAGGAGACTACTTCACTAGTGGCAATGATTTGAAGAGCGCCATGTCAAATCCAGAACCCAAAGAAGTGAAATTGAAATTAGTACAAGATATGATCGAGGCCTTCATAGCTTATCCAAAACTGCTGATTGCTGTGGTGAATGGTAGAGCTATTGGAATTGGAGCTACTGTAGTAGCATTGTGTGATATTGTTTATGCCACAGATGACGCTGTTTTTGAGGCACCTTTTGTGGAAATTGGCCTGTGTGCTGAAGGTTGTTCCAGTTATACATTCCCTTACATTCTAGGAAGGAGCAAAGCCTCTGAGGTTTTGTATTTGGGGCATAAGCTGTCTGCTGAAGAAGCTCTCCAATTTGGATTGGTTTCCAAAATTATTCCACAGGCACAGTTAGAATCTTTTATAGCTGGTTTACATAAATATGGTAAAATTCCTGTCCAGAGCCTCATTATCAATAAAGCTTTAGTTATGAGTAATTGGAAGAAAGGTTTGAGTAGGTCTAATGCAAGGGAATTCAAGCAGTTAGGGGAATGTGTTGATTCTGAGGAGTTTTCTAATGCTGTAATAGCTTTTATGAGTAGGAAAAGTAAACTTTAATGATACAAGCTATAATCATGCATACCTATTTGCATTTGTTTATAATAAGCAAAAGTGGATATATGTAGTAATAAGCTTTACCAGGTTTTTGTATTGTTTTCATTTATACAATGGCATGTAAACATATTTTTCTCTATTTAAAATATATGTCTTTAGGGGAATTTTCTCGGAAAATTTATTGATATATGTGTTTGTTAGAATATCAAATTTCATTGTAAAATATGGAAAAGGTCCTTTATTGTTTTTTTATCATAAGTTCAATAGACCATTGGCATATCAGGAACTATATTTTTATTATTGTTAACAATAAAAAAGTTCTACAATTTATTGTCATTATATCCTTTATCCTTTACAATTCATTCCAGAATAATATGTTCTTGAAATTCACCTACAAATCACAAATGGACAAATGCAAGCTCCATGACTAGAGTCTCGAGATCATACCCGTGTGTTCACCGAACACGCCCGATCGTTCCCTAAGCGGTGGGGAAACGTAAACGGGCAGCAGTAACTACGTTATGAATATTGGCGCATGCCTGAATTATTTTGGAGTCAAATTTGTCAATCTAATGTACTTCGAAACGGAACACTAGTAGTTGTGCCTTCTTGTTTTACATAATTATATTATAGGTAGACATCAAATCAATAAACATAGTGCTCTCGCCATCGGTATTTGCTGAACTTCGCTATGGGAAAAATGTTGAATAACTATATTGGGACGAAGAATGATCTATACAGGGTGTATCTAAATAACACCGAAATAATTCAAGGGATGATTCCTTGTGATATAATATGATGAATAAAGGTCATATAAACATGTGTCCTAAACTTGCTTCGTTTTCGAGGTACAGGGTTACGTCCTGATTTCGAATCCGAAGTGATTTTCAACCTATCTTGCCTCCTTATATCATTTTCCGGAAATGTTGGTGGGTCCATGACCAGAGCAGTGTTTTTCACTGAAGATTATAACCTCACTTTGGTCATAATCGGAAATCCCAGATACCTTCCAATTCTGAATAGAATCGAATCATAATTACAAAACTCGTTCGCCATATGATCTTCCTCAACAAGTAAATATATCCTGATGTATATACCTATCATTAAAATTTTGAATGATTGTGCTGTAGCGCCCATATATGTGACGTGAATTGTGTAAATTACACGAAGTGTAGGAATTGGCTACACTTCTCGTGCAAAAGAAAGGACCTTTTGTCACCTCTAACCAATTCTAACCGCCCCCGACGCACGCGCCTACCCTTCCTCCTAACCCACCCCCTCCCCAGCGCTTGCGCCGCCACAACCCGTCTCCGGACCGCTCCCATTCCGGCGACTCGCTGCCGATCGACTGCATGTACGTGGCGCAGAGCAGGCCTTGGCGGCCGAGGCCCAGCGATGTTCCGTATAGGGGCGGGGCCCCGCGGCTGTCTTGACCGCAACGGCTGTCTCGACCGCCCGTGCGGACCGCGACCGGTGTGTGCCCCCTTGCTGGCGGCGAGAGTAACTCGGAGAAGTGCCGCCACGAACGAAGATGGCTGCCTCGACGGGCTAGTTGCCAGGGTAGGTGTGCTCGGACTGTCTGCTTCGCTTGTATGTGCTTGCACGAGATCAGAGAGTGTTCAGGGTGGGGTTTTGTTGAGCCGGCTGCACTTGTTTTTGCTTGCGAACGTCTCTACAACACAGTTTTTCTGGGACATCATGTTGCTCACACAATATTGCTTCCACAGCAGGTTTATTTCGCTCGGACTGTCTGCTACGCTTGTATTTGTTTGCTTGAGAACGGAGAGTGTTCAGGGGGGGTTTTTGTTGAGCCCGCTGCACTTATTGTTATTGCTTGCGAACGTCTCTACAACATAAATTTTTCTAGGTTATCATGTTGTTTCAACAGCAGTAGTTTTATTTGGGTCAGTCTGCCTGCTATACTTGTATTTGCTTGCACGGGAACAGAGAGTGTTCATTGTGGGCTTTCGTTGAGCCCACTGCAGCTGTTTTTGCTGACAAAGGTCTCTACAACACAGTTCCTTCTGGGTCATCATGTTGCTTCCACAATAATGCTTCCACAGTAGGTTTATTTAGCTCAGTCTGTTTGCTATGATTGTATTCGCTTGATCAGAGAAGAGAGAGTGTTCAGGGTGGGTTTCCGTTGAGACCGCTGCATTTGTTTCTGCTTGCAAACGTCTCTACAGCACATTTTCTTCTGGGACATCATGTTGCTTCCACAAAAAATGCTTCCACAGTTGGTTTATTCAGCTCAGTCTGTCTGCTATGCTTGTATTCGCTTGATCAGAGAAGGGAGAGTGTTCAGGGTGGGTTTCCGTTGAGCCCGCTGCATTTGTTTCTGCTTGCAAACGTCTCTACAGCACATTTTCTTTTGGGACATCATGTTGCTTCCACAAAAATGCTTCCACAGTTGGTTTATTCAGCTCAGTCCGTCTGCTATGCTTGTATTCGCTTGATCAGAGAAGGGAGAGTGTTCAGGGTGGGTTTCCGTTGAGCCCGCTGCATTTGTTGTTGCTCGCAAACGTCTCTACAGCACATTTTCTTCTGGGACATCATGTTGTTTCCACAAAAAATGCTTCCACAGTTGGTTTATTCAGCTCAGTCTGCCTGATCAGAGAAGGGAGAGTGTTCAGGGTGGGTTTCCGTTGAGCCCGCTGCATTTGTTTCTGCTTGCAAACGTCTCTACAGCACATTTTCTTCTGGGACATCATGTTGCTTCCACAAAAATGCTTCCACAGTTGGTTTATTCAGCTCAGTCTGTCTGCTATGCTTGTATTCGCTTGCTCAGAGAACGAAGAGTGTTCAGGGTGGGTTTCCGTTGAGCCCGCTGCATTTGTTTTTGCTTGCGAACGTCTCTACAACACAGTTTCTTCTGGGACATCATGTTGCTTCCACAACGATGCTTCCAGAGTAGGTTTATTCAGCTTAGTCTGTATGCTCTGCTTGTATTTGCTTGCTCGAGGACGGAGAGTGTTCAGGGTGGGTTTACATGAAGCCCGCTGCAATTGTTTCAGCTTGTGAACGTCTCTACAACACAGTTTTTCTGCGAAATCATGTTGCTCCCACAATAAAATGCTTCCACAGTAGGTTTATTTTGCTCATTTTCTGTCTGTTTTGCTTGAGTTTTCTTATTCGAGAGCAGAGAGTGTATATATAAAGATTTGGGGTAGAGTTTTCCTAAGCCTGACGCGCCAGGAAGATTTCCACTACGATAAAGTTGTCAGGATAGGTTTGCTGTGAGCCCGATATGATTGTATTTGCTTGCACGATGAGAGAGAGTGTGACTGAGGGTGTAGGGTAAGTTTTTCTCAGGCCCGCTACAATTGTTTTTGTTAACGAAGGTATCGAGAATGCTATCGGACGGCTCTACAAATAACATACTTCTTTCTGAAACAGGGCTTGTCACCTTACCAGAGTAAATTATTGTAGAGCAGGTAGTGTGACTGAGGGTTTGGGGTCGAATCTGTGAATCTGTGAAATAGCTCCTGGCCCGAAACAGAAAACCAAGTTTTAGGAATGCACTTCTAGCAATTGATCTCACGTGATTTTCCAAAGGTTATTGCTTATAGTAATACCAAGCATCGAAATGGATGTCTTCAAAGGTATGGTTACTCCTGACGAGCTCATATTGGGCACAGTGAGATCGGCTTTTCTAGAGAAAAGGCATATATGCTTGTGTTTTGTTTGCATTGAAATCTACCAAGTTATTGGATCCCCATTCGAGTATTGTTGCCAAGTCCATATTTATGTTGTCAACATTTCTTGCTCGTTCCTTTCTGTTTTGCCTGGCTGGTATTGGAGCTGTGTACTGGACATGAAGTTTTCACTTGCAAAAGAACCGAGATTGGATGTCTCTACAGACAACATTTCTTCTGGTACAGTATATGTTCCTCCCAAAATTATACCTACGTTGCCAGAGTAGGATATTAGTCGCTTAGGCTAGTTGCTATGCTTGTATATTTGCTTGAACGAGAACAGAGTGTGAGTGAGGATTTAGGACAGGTTTTCGGTAAGCCTGCTGCACTTGATTTCGCTTGCGAACGTCTCTACAACATACTTTTATCTGGTACAGTAGTTTTTTCCACAATATAGACTTTCTAGAGTAAATTATTGTTTGCTCAGTTTGTCTGAAGTTTGTTTCCACGGCATCCGAGATCGAAGGACGTACCTAGAAAGGGTACGCGCCTCTCTGGAGAGTTTCCTTGGAGATCAAGTTGCCAGGGTGGGATTGCTACGAGCCTATATGTTCATATTTGCACGCACGAGAACAGAGATTTTGACTGTGAGGGTTCAGGGTAGGTTTTTGTTGAGCCCACTGCACTTGTTTTTGCTTGTCAAGGTATAGAGATTGCTCGGACGTCTCTACAGACACACTTCCTTTTGGGATAGTAGCTTTTTTCCACAATTGCGTGGCTAAAGTTCTTATTTTGCTCAGTCTATCTTCTACGCTTGTACTTGTTTGCTCGGGAACCGAGATGCAAAAGGGTTAGGGTCGCTTGTTTCTTCTTGTAATAAAATCGGAATTGTTGATGATGCTAGAAAACACACGTGAGTATCGCTTGAACTTCAGTTCTTTCTACAATATTAGTCTCACAATAGACTGCTTGATTGTCCAGCGTTGAAAACTCCGTTCTTGTAAGGAAGTTGAGCTTGCAAGTTGCTTTTAGGCTTCATCTTAATTACGATAACTTTGGCGACAATTATGCCATAGGAAAATGGTGCAGTCATTCTGACGCCTCTATTTGCTATCAAAGCAAAACACTATGCCGCCAACTTTGAGAACGAATCCCACTTATTCCTAAGCAACTAGAAAATCCCATTTCTTATATCTTACTAGCTCATGCTAGGGTGGAATCGATTCCTGTAGGGTTATTTGCACTGCTAAGAATGCATTTCGTTAGATGTAGCAGTGGGAGGGGATGGTATAATAAAAGCCTGCCCCAGAAACTAGTATCCGAAAGTAGCTTACTATATATATCTGAAATGTAAAACTTCAAATCGAAATCTTATATTTTTGTTCTTGAACCCACTTTCTTTCAACAGGATATTCATTTTTCGTACTTACAATATTGATTGTTTTCACAACAACTCTTTAAGAAATAATATACGATTTGAAAGAATGTTGTTCTCATTCATCAGAATGTTGATTGAAAATGACAGTTGCTATCAAGATGTGAGGAATATACCTACCTTGCCATTCAGAAGGGCATAATATTCAGTATGAAAAAGTATAGTACTCTCCAGTTGATCTGAATGGTAGTTTCTAGCAAGGGTTTCTTCCAATTTTCAAAGATTATCGGTACCAAAATTGGGCCACCATGTATACCACTAAACGAGTTCCCATATCAATCGATGCAATTCAATTTTCTCGTCCTTTTCTTCCCTATTTCCACTTGTTTATCACACATCAATTTTCATGAGTGGAATTATTTATTGTTCCATATTCTTAAGCGATATTAGATTCAATAGATTCTCTCATTCCTTTCTATACCCCTCTTCTGTCCGCGAAGATTTATCACTTTATAGATATACACGACTTGATAAATTCTTCTATCAGCCACTGTGTATAGGTACATATATACATACATGAACTGATTCGAGTTTTGACGGATTCAATCAATATTTCGATATTTCCTATGGGATTCACTCAGAAACAGGTGATTGAACACTTCTTCGCGAAATCAACGCAACACCAAAAAGTAGCCAAAAGTTTAGGAAATATTTTCGTCAAAACTACTCGTACGATTTGGATATACCTCAAAAAAACTCACCTTTATCATTCCATCTATCCTGGTAATAACTGAAGCACTCAGATCCACGAAAGCACTTTAAGAGACACAGAAGATTTTTTTATTTGTTCAAAAATGTTTCCATTTTATGATAGAATTGAGATTCAGATTTCGAATAATGAATTGAATTCAAGAGGGAAAGTATTCGTAACTGTTGTGTCGTCGAGATTGTCGTCTTGTACATGGGTTTGCATCAAGAGCCTAACTGCGAATGATTGATCAAGCAAGATGTCTGACAAATGCTTACATAGAGGGGGAGGAATCAGAAAAATATCGAATAACGATAAGTAAGCGCTAAATAACCCTAAGTAGGTTCGTCAAATATTATATTCGTGGCAGACTGACAGTTGTATTATTGGTAGTCAGTGCAGTTCTATGCGATGAACCTCGCAGCCACAAACAGCCACACTAGTAGTAGTTCAGCTAGACAATTATGGAAAAAAACATGCTGTCCCAGAGTGGCTGATGCCTGATAACGACTACAGTATACCTTCCTGTGGCAGGAAATTCACTTTCACAGCAAAGTCGTTATTGCTATCACAGGATTTGAAGGTGCTGCTTCTATTCGAAAATGTATAACGGTAATATGATTCCTTGTAAAGGTAGCAAGAAATATCTCAGCAAAAACTCTAAAAGCACAATTTTCCTCAGCGCGGGTGGAGCAATTATAGCGTGCTTTTTTTATGAAATTTGTAGAGTATAACAGTTATGTTATCAATATGGAATTGAAAGTAAATTTTAACCCAATCTTTTTTTGACATTACTTTTTTGGATTATCTTTCCTATTTCTCCAGAAGCACAATTTTATAGCAAACCATGATCTTATTGAATTCAATTGGTATTATAAGCACGCCGGAAGAAAGCTATGGTCTGGTAAGACATTTCTCTGACTGGTCGCATGGAACTTACAGCTCAAATGTACATATATCGGTGATTTCAGAACCACACAAAGTGTTGGGATTTTTGTTTATGCAAGATAATTATCTGAAGGGAATCTGTATCGCTATACCATGACATGGTCAGCTCGGAGCCCGGATTTAAATCATATTGAGAATCTCTGGGACATACATTGAATACTTTGGAAAACGCACAGCAGAGACTGGTAATTCAAATTTGGGAAGACATGGACCATCAAGACATTATAGGTCTCCTAGCTTTTTGGGTATGGGCCGTCTTTGCCAAGAAGTTTTTAAGTACTTCTGACGAAAATGTTTCCTAAACTTTTGGCAACTTTTTGGTGGTGTGTTAATTTCTTGAAGAAGTGTATGTTCTTTTTAAGGGCCATAGCGGTTGGGATACTGGCTGTGTATGAGACGGATCGATAGACACAAGAGGTTGAATGTAAGTGCGATGCAATGTTGCCATCCAAATAATCGAGGATCAAACCCAGCGAGCACAAAAACATCTCAGAGATGTTAAAAGTACGAGATTTCGAGACATTGAACCTCCACTGCGATGTTCTGTTCACACATGAATAGAACTATTATAGAACAGCCAATATGTCTGCCGCAGGCGGCAATTATCGAGATGTCCTTGATATGTCACAAAACTACCTTCTCCCTAGTTCTTTTTAAAGCCTTTTCATGGACACAACAAAACATTTCCAACGCGTCTTACGCACATTAAATCGCTGTAAAAAAACATTTTCGAGGTACTTTTCTGAAGCCTTTTGTCAAAATGAACTTTTGCATTAGGATTCCATTTCACTTGAATGAAAAAATGCATTAAAAATAGATTGAACATAAAAATATTTTCTTGATATGAAATTACCTTCTTAATCGGTTTCTGAGTAGTGCTTACAACACACAGACATATAATTGGAAATAGGTTTCCCAATTTTTGAAATGTTCCCCACAATGCATAATTTTGCAACTGCGGAGAAGCTGTGTATTGATATTGATGAATTCGTACTTCCATATATTGATTACACTGAGGCACCGAACAACACATCTTGCATCTGATGGTCATTATTAGAAACTAAATAAGTCTTCTAACTCAATAAACTTCACCAAATTCATTTCTGTTCGTTAGCAGCGTGATGTAAGCGTGACACGCTGCAAACGCGAATGCCAATTGCGAACAAGAAGAACAAAATTGAAAACAAATCAGAATTCATCGTATTGTGACGTAAGCATGAGACGTTGTGGTGGGGCAAACAAAGAAAGGGCACAAAGGAACAAAAACAATACTTTCAATATCCTTCTAAGACCTCTTTGGGAAGTGCATATTACGCCTCAAAAAAACATCCTCATGCCTACATTTCTAAAACATCCCAAAATATCCCAGGGATACCTCTCAGTAGGCAAACGAAGAAATGCCACAGAAGAACAAAAACAATACTTCAATATCCTTCAAAGACCTCTTTGGTCAGTGCATATTACGTCTCAAAATAACATCTTCATGCCCACATTTTCAAAACATCCCAAAACATCCCAGGGATGTTTGTGCTCGCTGGGTACCTACCCTTCCACATATTTGCAACTTCTAATTCTGTATCAAACGCCAAAATACGAGATATATCTCGTTCCATTCCTTGGCTTGTCTCTGAGGCCGATATAAATAGCCTTGTATGGCACGCAGAAAAAGTTCGCAGATAAAAAGGGATTAGGTTGAGAAACGGCTGAGTCTGAAATACTGAAAGGAGTTTATTTATCTAGAGATCTGTGGAGTAGAGCCCTCTCTTCTATTTTGGAACGTTTTCTGTAGGACTGGGCGGGGTTAACCCGTATATATGCAACTGAGATATCTTTCTAAATCATCAAATATAAAATGCAAAAGACGACAGATTCTCAATATTAATAGAGTGATAGCTAGGTATACAAGGTATTTCTGAAATGAAACCTACCATCATAGGGAAATTGATGAAACCTGATGAGGAGTTTCAGTTTTCTGAAGTGTTTCCAAAAATTTCAATACTTACGACAGATTTTGTACATACCTTCATGCTTCTTGACTTATCTTTTTTTTTTTTGCAGGTGAAATCGTAGGTTTGGGCCTGTCGTTTATGTCCAGACCTTGTTTTTGACACTGACGATATGGTGAGTTATTTCAATTAGTACCTATACAGGATGGCATTGAAATAAGTGCAAATATTTCAAACTTTAAGAACGGCGTGTACTATCGAATGACACTAGTAAAAAAAAATTAGGGATCATCATAAAATTTGAGGTCACCTCTGTTCAAATTTCCATGCGGTGGGCACAATCACGAGGAGTTCAATGATTTAAATTGTTTCAAAGTGGCTTACTTGATTTTTTTTTCGTATTTTGTTCGATTTTTGGGATGTTATTTCTCGTTACTTAGAACAATTAGAAAAAATCTGATATGGGAATATTCCTTAGACTGTATCATGTTAATGTACTGAAATATGTGCACTTATTTCGAAAACACATTGTATATACCAAATAAATAATTATTGATGTTCGTCAAATCGAGCAAGTCAGGACACATGTTTATATATTTTTTTATCGCTTGGAGCGCTCGAATGGGAATCCCTATAATGTTCAAAGAACATCGTGCGTTCCCAGGGAGGATAGGGACAGGAGGTAAGTATTGGAATTTTTTTTGAGATTATATGTTGTTGGGAATACTTCCTCAGGCAATGAATTCCAGAGCCTAGCCGTTCTATGGATGAAGGAGTCTTGATAAAGTGCTGTTCGACATCTTTCGAGGTTGACAACGAGAGGATGTGCTGACTGGGCTTGTCTAGTTCGTCTGATTGAACTTAATTTGCTAGGATATCACAAGAAATCACCCCTTGAATCTTTTCGGTGTCATTTAGATACTGTGTCCTGATGAAGAATATTTTTTACTGTTACTTTTTGGTTGTTGCCCTCACTACGCGCCAAATACCATCGTAAAAAAAGTTTATGTGCTGTTGAACGAACTCCCCCATAGTTCCTGAGGTTGTAATGCAATTGATTTTCTAGTTTGATTCGATATTATCGCAGCTTCATTGGGGTCTTCTGATAGGATATACCGATAGTTAACTTTTTTAACGACGGCAGTAAACCTCTGGTTTACGGTCGATAAGAAAATAAACACGGAAACAGTATTATTCTGTTTGAGAATGGGAAAGATGTGAACGAAAATGGAAAATAATAACTCACAGTATGCCTTTTGGAAGGTATCATTATGTATATATTTTGATGTTGAAAATGATACATTAGAGCATGCACATTAGTCCGAAAATCTGTCACTACTTACCGGTCTATAACGTACAGGGTGCGCCTCTTGAAATTGAGCCCCCTCTTAACTCTTTTTTTTTATAAATAAAGTAAACAGCAATGGTAGATTTCGGGAGAAAAACAACTACTTTCCTGGCTAATGCCACGCAAAACATTGAACTACATCCTCCCGAAATCTATATGCATCGACTCGTATAAACGAATTCTGATACAAGTGATTCTTTCCTGAATGCCTATTGATTTCGATTCAGCCAGGCCTCGCTAGACACCTACAGACCGGTTTCGAGCTCTTTGACTCTCATTAGTGCAGGGCAGTCTCCAGCCAGCAGTCCTAAGACCGCCGACTAAGAGTAGCCTGGCCAAACTAAAATCAAGTCGGCATTATATTCCCCCAAAGGCGTATTTCATAGACAATATGAAAGCAACGCCATCTGGGTACAAAAGATGGGAATAAACACTCCAAAACTGAAATTCCCTTACGGGAATGGCTGGTTTAACTGCGGTATTTTGGTAAAGTTTGACCATTAATAACGCAACAGTTTTTCATTCAAAAATGCATCTTATTTATATTTCTGAAATCAGAAAAAAGCTCTATCAGATCAATAAATGTATAGGGAGTTCCATTAAGAAAATCAGAGTAAATGTCCCTTCCGAAAAAACAAATATCCCTATATATAAAACAATTACACAAAATAAAAGTTTTGCCCGCCAAACTATTTTTATTTGACATTTTTTCATATCTCTCGAAACAAATGAGTGAAGAAGGAGTTCACTTTCAAGAGGCACACCCTGTACATACAGATCTTTGGACTCCTCGGCACTTCAACTTAGTGAATTGCTCATCAGCACAAACTTTCTACAAGCCACGTGACCCGACCAGCCAATCACAGGCCGGCTTGGAAACGTCACGGAACACTACTGAAATATCACGGAATTCCACGAAAATGTCACGGAAACGTCACGGAACACCACTGAAATGTTCCGTGACGTTTCCGTGACATTTCCGTGATATTTCAGTGGTGTTCCGTGACGTTTCCGTGACATTTCCGTGGTATTTCGTGATATTTCAGTAGTGTTCCGTGACGTTTCCAAGCCGACCTGTGATTGGCTGGTCGGGTCACGTGGTTTGGAGAAAGGTGGAGGGGATGGGCTGGGCTGGAGAGGCGGATTACCTACTCATACAGGGTGTTTCTTAAGTACGTGTAGAAAGTTCAGGAGCGTGTTGCTGACGTCTAAATAGGAAGAAAAGTTCTTATAAATATATGTCCGAAAGTTATCCGTTTCTCAGATACACAGTGTCAAACCTGAATTCTTATTGGAAGATTTCAAAAGAGCAGGTACAAATAAGTAAGAATCATATTTTGCCTTCATTCCAATGTGGAATGAAGAAGAATATTGAATGAAAGAAGAAAAATGCACTTGCGCATCTTTTTTGATATTCACTATAGAGGCGACTACCAAGAATATATTTTTCACACAAAAGTGTTCTAGAAATCAATTTTTTTACTATGAAACCTTATACAGGTACGCACAAAAGAGTTATAACCTTTCAAAAGACTCAAAAAACATGTAGGTGGCGCCACCCCCACGAGAGAGACAAACTAACTTAAAATTTGATATTCTCATCGAAAAATACCCCTAGACACCAAATTTCATTCTGATATCACAATTATTTTGGAATTTATTAACAAAAAACAAAAATAAGATTTCAACTTTGAGACTCTGTATCTCAGAAACGAATAACTTTCGGACATATATTTATTTATACGAACCCTCCTTCTTATTTTGACGTCAGCAACATGCTCCTGGATTTTCTACACGTACATAAGAAACACCCTGTATATCCTTTTCGAAGATAAATTCAACCCCAAATTCGCCAAAATGTCAATAATATCCGATGTGTGAGTTCCCGAAATCAATACATGTGGCAGATAATTTCGCTCGTTTTCACCTTGTATATCGTGAATGAAATTTTTGTATTTGACTCACATTGAATAGTCACCCTGGCCTAAATCTAAAGCTATCTGATATTGAATGCAACAGACTACGTACCAAGGGGCTTTATATCGTTGTCCCTGCTTGCGATGCAAACAACGTATTTATAAACCGGGTCAGATTGGCTATCAAACTGATCTTCAGTAGCACAGAACAACCCAATATTGAGGTCGCAGAAAATATCCTGGATTAGATTTTTATTCTCAGGCCATTAAGGATATGTTTCCAAATAGATCCTCAACTATACGACGACGTATCATGGATTTATGGTGATTGTTACATTTTATTTTTTCGTCATTATCACTCCCGAACAGCACTCGACGTCCTGAGGACGTCCAGTTTAGGCCCGATTTAGGTCCGGGACCTTTTCAAGACGTACCTACTGAAAACGTCCACGTTCGATTCCGATGTACTGGGTACGTCCAACTCGGGATGTTAACGACTTTTAGTGGACGGGATTGAATAAAATTGTATGTATAATGATAATTGAAATCATTGCATATAATTTCTACTCTCGATCTCTGATATCTATTCAATTTTTACTGGCCGTACCTGATCACAAATGAATGCTGGATTCACTCCACCACTGGGTTCTTCTCTGTTATTTCTCATAATCGTTCCTCCTTATACATAAAGCTCGCTTTTTATCTCGGTATCCATTTTGTGTTTGTTCTTCCGAATCTGATATGGAATACAGAATCGAATTACATTAAATTTGACCTGGATAGCACTCTTCTTCTTCCAAACAAAGCCATCACATTAAAGTAAGGACAACTTCCATATTCCAGATTACTGAATTTTTCATCGCTTCCACAGTCATGAAGAAATTTGCAATGTTGGATATTCTTCAACATGCAACTGAAAAATATCATGAAAACAGACAACAGAAACAGAAACGGAGACATCAGGGACAGAGATGTAACAACTTCACAAACGATAAGATTTCCACAAAATTCTTAAACACACAATATGTTTCGCTAACAAATGCTGGTGTTCCGCAAGGATCAATTCTAGCACCAACACTTTCTACTCCATATCAACGATTTGTTGGATGCAACTTCATGTGCAGTACACAGCTTCGCGGATGATAGTACCCTCCATACCGCCTCCTCTTCCAGGGCTCCAATTCCAGCCAGGCAAATCAGAAACGAACGAGGGAGAAATGTTGACAACATAAATATGGACTTGGCAACAATTCTCGAATGGGGATCCAATAACTTGGTAGATTTCAATGCAAACAATACACAAGCATGCCTATTCCATTCCTTCGAAGACATCCATTTCGATGCTTGGTATTACTATCAGCAATAACCTTTCTTGGGAAAATCATGTGAGGTCAATTGATAAAAGTGCATCCCAAAAACTTGGTTTTCTGTTTCGCGCCAGGAGCTATTTCACTTCTAGTCCGCTGCTTATGATCTATAAGGCACAGATCCGACCTGTCCTTGAATACTGTTCCCATATTTGGAGTGCAGCACCCAAATATACCCTGAAACTGTTGGATTCTGTCCAAATGAGGGCAATTCGTCTCGTTGGTGATGCCTCGCTCACAAACTCACACATATTACAGGATATCCCTTTTCGTGGGAAACAAAACACATAAAAAGTACAGTCCGATCTGGCTTTATTTTATAGATATTTTCATGGACCATGGACAAGAAGCAAGCAAGAATTCTGAATCTTGAACTACCTTGTATTCGTTCAAATTGAATATCAGAAGATAGTCATGTGAGCCGTTCTGATCAATAGTTAATAGTTTCGACACAAAAAATCCTAAAGTTGAAAAATCTCGATTTTGAACACACTTTATCTCTGTAATCATTCCCGCTAGATCCCGAGTATGATGTATTGATGTA